GTTGAAAATAATTTTTCAAAGGGTAATGCACTCGAGCGTCTTTCCTTCAAAAAATATAAAAAAATCTTAATTTATTTTAAAGAGAAAATCGAAACAATTGTATTACCATAAAGTCCTTGAGAACAACCGAGGTGATGTAAAACACACATGAAAAACTATAGATGAGATTATTAAGATTAAGTCCAGAGATGATAACCCCATCTCAGAATTGAAACTTGAAAATGGTACTACAGTGACAGACCCTGTCATGGTGGCTAGCAAATTCAATAAATTCTCCTCAACAGTAGGGAAGAAGCTTGCAGATAAAATCCCTCGTAGCTCAAAATCATTTGCTGACTTCTTAGGTGCTCCTTTGCAAAGCTCCTTTTTCCTTGAAATAATGACTCCTGCGTTGATCCTTCAAATGATATTGAACATAAAATAAATGAAATGCAATTGGGCCTGATGGTATTCCACCACACTTCCTGAAAATAGTCGCTGATATACTATCACCAGCCATTTTTTCAATTTCTCATTCAAATTAGGTTTTTTCCCTTTCTCTTTAAAAATTGCTAGAGTGAAACCAATTTTCAAAAATGGTAAGAATAATGATCCTTCAAACTACCGACCAATCTCCAGCCTACACTTTATTGTTATTATCTTAGAAAACTGTTACATAGCAAATTGATCAATTTTGGTACAAAAAATCAACCTGATCAACAAATGTCAATTTGGATTTCAAACCAGCATGTCCATCAGTCATGCTATTTTAGATTTCACATCATTTATTTACGATAAAATTAATTTAAAAAAGCCTTCGACACTGTCAACCATATTCCTTCCCAAAAACTAAGACACTATGGCTTTCGAGGTGCTACAGGCAAAATATTGAGCGATTACCTTTCTGGCCGATTTCAATATGTTGGAGGTGGATTCTCAGAGGTCTCCGATGTTGCACATTCATTATGGAATTCCTCAATGAAGTGTTTTAGGTCATCTTTTTTTGTTTTTATAAATCATCTGTCAAACCGTAAATATAGGTCAAAATGCTCTAATTTCTTGAGCAAACTATTCGTTGATGATGCTTGCGTGCTCTACAGTGCATAAGATCCGAGTACTTCCCAAAACAAGGTGAACACTGAAATAAATAAAGTATATGATTGGATGACTTCCAATAAACTAACTGTGAATATACAAAAATACAAAGTTATTCATGTTATTCAACAATAAAACTCCAGCCAGACATACGAACATATCAATTGAAATTACGGGTATCGCGCTAGAAATTCTCCACTTATCTTGGCCTCATTATTGACAATCAATTAAAATGGAACTTTCATACCACTTAAATGCATATAAAACTGTCAAGAACTCTGTAGTTTGCTCTTTTTCATATCCAATATGCCTTATCTGCATGTGATTTCGCTACCAAAACAAGCTTGCGTAAATTAGAGATTTAACAAAATAGGGCTGTTGGAATTCAGGCTGGGACATCTATTCGTTCTAACTTGAATACCCTATACCAGGTTGGTTCAAAGTTGCTTGGTTGAAAGGCCGCAAAAACTTTTGAGAGGGTCTCGTGGGCCGCAGTCGGAGAAAACCAAAAAGTGATCAAAACATCGCGAATTTACTTACTTACTTACTTACTTACGAATTTACTGGTATTGGTACATCTCTACTCCAAAACAGAGGTTGATTGTAGTCATTAACAGAAAAAACCTATCAGGGCGATATTTCGTTGAGGAAATTACCCGAAGCAAGGGCTAATCTGGAACAAATATCTTATAGCTGTTTAATCTCCAAAATTCACAGATCCAGGGAGTCTTAAAAGACGGCTTTACTAAAATTAGTTCTACAATAATATTTTTAGTGGTTAACTCCTATATATTTGTTCTGAAATTATTGTCCAGAAAGCGCCTACTACAAAAGAACTTGTCGTCTTCGCAGTGGCAACGTCTTCAAGAAATTGTTTGTGAGGGAAAGCTTTGCGCGGGATCGAACTAAAACATCAACTAAAATCTTTGATTCACGCCACACGCTTCAAAAGTCGTCGACGATTCAAAGCACAAATACTCCCGATTTTGACCCGCATTCCACCGTGGAACATTTTGTCGATTGTGTCGAGTGATATCAAAAATTGCGACGACAATGACAATAGGAAGTATAATATAAATATATATATCTATACATGACCAGAAGATAGTTCTAGGCCTTCGAGTATATAATCGAGGATTCCATCGTTCTAATTAATGTTTGCGCAACGTGTACATGGGGAGAGAAAACCCCAAGTGTATCTTTTCAACCTTATATGGCATGGAAGGATGAGGGTGTATAGGTATATACGCTAATATCAAAGGTCCGTGGGTGCAAATGTCTGCGGGTGCAAATGTACGCGGGTACAAATGTATGCAGCTTCTTGAATGTTCGCGGGTTCAAATGTCCGTGGGTGCAAATGTCCTTGGGTGCTAATATCAATGGGTGCCAATGTCCATGGGTGGAAATGTTCATGAGTGCAATTTGTATGTGGGTGCAAAAATCTGTGGGTGCAATTGTTCATGAGTACAAATGTCCGTGAGTGCAAAATATGCGGGTACGATTGTCATGGGTGCAAATTACGGGTTCAAATGTACGTGGGTTCAAAGATAATAGAATCCGTATTTTTGCTTTTTTGCGAATTTGACAAATCCGAGTTGTACTTGCAACACTGACTCCGCTCAGTCGCAATGCTGCCACTCAGATTATTTTTAAGATAAAACCGCCAGAAAAATTCCTAAGTCTGATAAAAATCCCACAGAGTAAAAATTTATTTCATTTATTTATTGAAAATTGATGGAATATACTTCATTTTACGGATCGCGGGTGATGTTAAGTAAATTTATTAACATACCCCAAAAATTGTCTTGATTCAGTTTCATGTAGCGCCTGTTCGGTGTGTTTAATACAGAACGAATACGAGCGCAAAATACAGTACAGTATTTAAGTCTGGGCAAGCCTGATAGAGCATAATGCCATAATTATACGTAATGAATGAAGGTTCACAGCTGCCAAGGTTTAGAGATGAACGCGTGTCTTGACTGAAAAACGATTGTACGATGCCTTCTGCGGTATGCGAAAGTTATTGTATCACTCTCACTCCAAGAGTAATGTGGTAAAGTGTGTTTGCCAAGGGAGCAGTGGCATGAGAATGCCAAATTTTCTAATTCAAAGCGAGCGACGAATATGATTTTGAGGAAATTGTAATCTAGATACTGAAATTTGATCAGTCATGTAGCACTTATGGTTTGAGAATACACGTACGACTAAAAATAGGCAGGCCTTAGATATCAATTGTATGATTAGAATAAATCTTAAATAAACGATCAAAATTTACCCCGGGTACAATTACATAACCAAATTAAATGAAACATAAAATATACACATTTTGGTTGCGATTTCATTAAAAATGCGCCCACAGAGCCGAGATTATTTGCAGCGATGGAATTTTTCGTATGGTAGTGTGCAGACGTGCAGTTATCTGCATATTGAGGAATTTGTTTTTGTGTATGACCTTATTACCGATCAGTAGATCGCAAACTATTTTGAAAATTTTAGTCGATCGCGGTCGGAAGCTGATTGGCCACCCCTGTTCTATATCATCACAACCCAGGAAAACGTGGCGTTTCCAACCTTGTATAATGTTAACTCTGAAACCCCCGACGGCAATTTAGAGTAATGTATAAAAAGGTACATCCCGCGCACAATTGACTGTCTCGATTTTAGTGTCGGTATGGTTGGTTCCCAACGCCGACCAAACATAATGCCTGACGTAGGCACAATTCTGCGACTCACAATGCCTGGATAAGAGTTTCTAATATGTTGTGGGCCTCCTACAACAAAGTTTATATTGTTTACGGTTTTATTTTTAGTATTTTATATTGCCACTTTTCAATGAATAAATTTGCGTCGCGGTCCCACTTCTCCATTTGTCCTTAACATCTCGCGGCCGAAGTTTGCAAATATCTATCATCGAACTCACAATTCTGTGCGAGTACAAAAATATAGTAATTATCATCTTTGTCGTTGCACAAATTTGTGATTTAGGGAGAATGAACACCAATGTAAAGGTTTTTACGGCCTAAATAACACGCCACGCAGACGAAAACAATCGGCGATTTTAGCAAAATACGATCACATGCGTTATTGGCGCCTTTTTCAGTTTTGCAAAAATTTAAAATGTGGTTTTCTGCGTCACTGCATGCATTTGTAAGTATTTCCATCAAACCGAATCGAAAATTGGATGAACTCATGTGACAAACTTTCTACTATGTATTCAGAGCGGTGGTGAGTATTGTATGTTCTGTCAGAATGGGTTTGTCTAGCAATTTTGTTTTGTCCGTTGCGATGTTACTTGATGATTAAGGTCACGTATACGAACGGCGCAAAAACTTTTATGGCAATATTTCGGATATGTAGAACCTATAAATTTATTTGATAGAGTATATATATACGATTGGTCTAGACAAGTAGAGAAAAAACGAAATATTTTAAATATTCGAACAATTCAACAATATATTAGGAAGGAGAATCAAGATTAGACTCTAAACGAAGTGCAAGCGTACTCAAGCTTTTCTTTTGCACAAGGTAAAACAGCGTTCACCGTGTTTGACCAGTATTATGCCAAGTAAAAAGTAGGAATAATATATATGCGAGACAATGAGCGTTGAATTTTCATAACTTCAGTTCGAGTAGGCAAGAACAAGCCATAATTATCAAAATAAGCTTTTCTTGGCTTATGGCACTACACTAATTACATCTAACATCAGAGAAATTAACACAACAAATGAAAGATATTGCATCATTTTCTGAGGATTTATTAAACGTCATACGAAAGAGTAATGAGTAGAGCTGTTTCATGGTTAAAATCATGTTTTAGATGAAAATAATATTTCTTTTACCTGAAAGAACAACAATGATGGGCCTAATCGAAGCCCGAAATATAATATTCCAATTATATTTTGTTTTCAATTTTACCGGTAATACAGCAAATCACAGTTTTAATATTTAATAACTAGGAATATTATGTTGTGTGACAAAATGAGGTATAATTTTCCTATAGTCGGCATTGTATTGATTTTGATCCTACTATTTTCAATGAAGACAGAACTCAGGTAAATTTCATTGTATAACCTACGAGCAAAACTTTTTCTTACCTCCGTTGAATCTAGGTAATTACTACTATTATTTGAAAGAATCTGTTCTTTCTTTTTTAGTATGGTTTATCAAGGTAAATAATAAGCCAATTAATGAAAATATGGACCGATACTGAAATTCAAAATTTTTAACCCGTGTTGGCTGTTTTGTGTTTTTGTATCAGCCGATTTTATATTGCAATCGTAGCCCTAATTTTGACAGGACATCATTATCAGCAATTGCATTTGGCATCAACACAAAAACAAGCGCTTCAGTACTTGAATATACACTTCAAGCGGAGGCCATGACTGACTTAGACCCAAATACTTTTCGATGTGAAGGTTTGTGTTCCTACTTGACTTACTCGTTATCATGATGGAAGGTAAAAAAAGTGTAGTTCAAAACTAAAGCTCGATTTAGCGCTTTAATCAACACAGTGGAATAAAAGAAGTAAGAATTTGTTGGATTGAATATCTCATTGAAAGTTAAAAGACCCGTAATGTGCCAAACACTTCAATATTTTATCATATATTTTGGCCAGATTTGATGTTATGTTCGTTTAAGTTTTTTTTTATCCCTATGGTGTAGCAAGCGAAAACCATTAGCTCAATTTACCAAGCTGGCGAAACTGGTTCTTATTTATACCTGAAAACCAAAACGAGGAATTCATTTATTTGTTTCAGTTCATGACATGGGATGCTTTATTTTGGTTCCTCCAAGTCAAAAAATATTTGGAAAAAAACACCCTAAAATTACAGATGTAAAATTTGACGAAGAGACACTAAAAACAAGAGAAATTTGCATAAACAGTTGTTTTCAGAAGTAAGTGAATGAATACGCTCCTGGCAAACTTGTTTCCCGTCTAATAGTTCAGTATATTTACGCAGTACATAATGTATGTGACCTCGAACGTACGTTTCATTTTAGACAGTGGTATCTGTATTACCATTACATAATCTGATCATAGATTTTGAATTAGCAGATACATGACACCTTTTGATCAAGGCTGCCCAACCCGCGGGCCGCATGCGGCTCGCCGAATAAAGTCTGTAAGAAGACTATTTAAATTTTTATAATGTTATATATCAATATATAGGCTTAAGTATGTTTGGTGATTTTGGTGTGATTATTTCTGCCATCTATCCACATTCAATTGCCGGTTCTTATTATTACGTATTTGTCAAGTCTTGCACTCTGGTGGGCATCGACGTCAGTTTTTATTTTATTTTTGGATAATGTGCGATCATTGGGGACAAACTCTGAGCGCAACTATAGGAATGAATTTGGAGGCTGATGGCATTGCCAAATATTAGTACTTATTAAATACTTGTATTGGTGTTTCAAATGTTTCGTAACAGCCCACTTAAACTTGATATTCCCGCGACATTGGCGCACATTATGCTCATTTAAACCCTGAGATAGTATCATAGCCACTCAAAGTAAACGGATGAAAACACTACAACCCAAATATAACACTCAATTTTGACGCGATGTATGTGTTCTCGTGTGGTCGTCAACAAAACGCAATTGTGTTGTGTTATACAACTTTAGTAATGATTGATTCTTTGATTCGGTGGCCCGCAAGTGTCATGTCCACGCCCCGTGGTACCAGATATTCGAATAGTAAACTGCTATTCTAATATTCAACTTGATATTCGAATAATTTGCCAATCCTACCCAGTAACCATAAAGCAATTATTAACTTGATTGATTTCATGTTAATGAACTTGCCTTTTTTGTATTATTATTAGCTGGTATTAATGTTTGGTATAAACGTTCGCGGCCCGCAACAAATTTCGTCATGTGAAAGTGGCCCGCGAGACCAAAAAGTTTGGGCAGGCCTACTTGGACCGTTGGATGGGGAAGTAAGGAATAAATTAGAATGTGATTTACATTTTTTTAATCCGTTTTCTGTGAAAGTGATTATATCTCCTTTCCATCTATCAGTAGTTTCTACTTAACAAATGCTTTTGAGTACAACCGGTTGATAGAGTCATCCGTGAATCCGAATGTTTGAACAAATAATCGGTAAAGCTATTATCGATAGGTATTAAAGTATTCCTTTTTGGTATTCCACAATTGTACAAAGGAAACCTTTCACAAAACATGTCAATATGTTCTTCAACATCATCCACGTGAAGTCTGAGGGCGTCAGTTTTATTTTAATCACCACAAAAGGAAGTGCGTGCTTTTGAGAATTTTTAATATTTTTTGGAAAAAGCGTCCGCTGGGAAATATTTTTGTAAAATGCAAGTGAAAAAAACATAGTCGACGAAGTCACTTCTCCTAATCGATTTTCTCTATTAAATTCAACTCAACATGTAGCTTTGGCATTGACAAACCGCTTATACAATATCATGAAATAGCAAATATAATCAATTGAATCATATACATAATTTTAGCAAAACATTCGATGATGATAAAAATCATCGCATTCAATTTTCCAAACGCTTACAGGTCATGATTTGCAAATTTTATTAGAACATTTAGAATTGAGTTTCCTTTGTTAATAAGTTTTCTACAGTTTTAAAATCGTATTTTGATTATAGGCAATATACTTTGTCAGCAATAAACGCAGCACAGAATTGTTGCATGTGCAGCACCGGATTTGAGGGATTTATTTCTAGCAGAGAAATAAAAGCTGATACAAGTTTTGTTAAAGCTGAAAAATGTAGATCGTCAAGTACCTTCCACGTCTATAGCAAAATTAGGGATTGTGAAAAGGGTAAGTTAATATATATTAGTTTTACAGTGTCACGCAACGACATTTATTTCAGTCTATAAATCTCTGAGCATCAACTTAGAAAATACGAATTTACCTAACTAATTACCAAATTAAATTTACATTTATTCATTTGCAGGGGTGTCAAAAGAATCGTTGCAACAAAATAGGGTGGGTTGCTTGGACATACCAAAAACATTGAATCAATTTATGATTGCATTTTCATCCCCCCAGTTATCAATAGAGCAATGCATTTTGAATTGCGAAATGAGAAAGTACACTTTTGCAATACCTGTTAAACAAAAAGGTATTTGTTTGTGCTCGGATTCTTATTCATTGTAAGTATTTAACGCTTCAACGATTTCACTTTTTCATTCCTTCATGCTAATTCTTCTTCTCAGGCGCTTTTGCTAATGTTATGACAACATGACTCAAGCAATGGCCAGATGTGGTGATGAAAATAACCTTTCAAACTCAGATGAAATAGTCGAAGTTTACCGAACAACAGTAAACGATGAACATTGCGAACCAAGAAGGTAACTTTTGCAATTAAATGTTGGTTATTAATGCTTTTGCGCGTCCTTTTTTCACGAAAACTTATACTGAAAAGTTGCAAACCATACAAATTTATAAGCTAGAAACTCAAGAAGAAACTATTTAATCACAATGAGCCATAACTAGTAAATTTTATATAATATTAGTTTTCGATTTTTATAAACATTTCTAGTTTTTTTTTGATATATATTATAAAGTCGGGTCGTTAACGTGATATACATATATAAAATATACATATAGCGCTAACTAAATAAGCATATACAATCAAAGTCATATGCGTATACAGTCAATTAATATACAAATACAGTCATTTCGGTGATGTACATATACAGCCAATATCATATGTATATACAGCCGATTAGATATACACACACGTCCATCCCAGAAAAGTACACATCCAATTCCATATGTATGTATAGTCACTCAATAAACACATGTGATGCACATACAAAAGTCACTATCAGACCTTTAATTAAGTGATGTACAAACACCACCAATTCATTGCAAATCCGTGCACTTACTGTATAGTATGTACCGATGCGGTTACATCGACCAGTTGCAAGCTTGGAAGTCATATTGATATAATGAGTGCGTTAAATATTACTCACAGAAACTCCAAAACGGATTTTAATGAAAGTTTCTTACAATAAGAGTAAAGTATATGTAATAAATTATTTTGATATCAGCATCATTTAGTGACAAATCTTTAGATGTTATTTGTGCCTAACGATGCGTACAATGTAATCCCGCTTGTGATAAATGAACATATACAATAGGTTGCACCCATTCCTTAGCCATTGTCAATAAACTGTCGACAAAATAATCAAATCAAAGTTTAGCAAACTATCATTACTCACGTTACATATTGATGGAAGCATTGCCTGATTATTTTTATGGAATGTGGCCATGCTCGCTGACAAATTGGAGTAGTGTGCTTACGCTTACACAAACTCCAAAGCTGTTATTGATTAAAGTATGAAAAACAACTTGCAACTAGCATAAAGTGGATGTAATAAAATGCCTTGATATGAGCATCATTCATCGGTAAGCCGTTACATGTTGAATGCGCATAATAAGACATAAAGTTGCGGGTGTACGTGGTTAAGAAGGAAATTAAATTAGGAAATTAATGTTAAGCTATCAGTTTGTTAAATGGAAAAACGATTGAACTGAAAATGTCATTCATTATGCAAAGACCTTTGTAACAGAAAAAAATGTGGAAATGCCATTAACATGAGAATAAAACGGTGGTAATGCTGAAATAGGTTGTATTTACAACAATTTTCATTGCTCCATTATTGCCCATCGATGTTTTTGTGAGGAAATAGTCGCTTTTCTCTGCAACTGATTAACTAATAAATTTACTTCAAATTTAGAGTACTCGAAAATAGGCGAGTTGCTATAAAGCTATCTTTCATCTTAACAAATTTTATCAGAACATTTAGAATTGAGCTTCCTTTGTTAATAAGTTTTCTACAGTTTTAAAATCGTATTTTGATTATAGGCAATATACTTTGTCAGCAATAAACACAGCATAGAATTGTTGTATGTGCAGCGCCGGATTTGAGGGATTTATTTCAAATTGTAGTTGAGACCCATATGGGGCCAGATATTTCATCTAAATGCTGATGTCGTATTTTGTTCGCGAGAACACTTTTATATGACATAAGAGAATAAGTCATTCGACCACGCTTCTTCGTCGATCTTTATTAAAAAACTCAGTGATTAGCTAAGGCCTTATACGCGATGTTGATGTCAATATATTTTAGCATTACTTTCCCATATTCAAGGTAGCCCACCCAAACTATTTTCTAAAAAAGGCAATTTTTTTTTAAATATAATGCTCACTGTTCACTCCCAATTCTTGGTTTTTCACGACCAAAATCAAAGTAAATAATGCGTACGAGGTTTATAATGATTCCGTAGATGTGCTCCGAGATCAAAACGTGTGAAATTGGTTAAATTAAACAAACTGCAATTTGATGAGTTTGTGGAAAGTTAGTGCCAATAGCCAATAGAGGAAGATGGGCCACGGAGGGACATGTATGGTGACCCATCGTTGTCACTAGTGAAAATTAAAAGAGAAAACTGAAAATGAAAATAAGATTTGAAAAAAATTTGTAAAAAATGCAAACAAAATTATAAAAAATAATTGGAGAAAAAAAATGCGAATAAAATGACAACGAGAATATCGTTCAGTGACCGAAGACTTATCGATCGAAAGTTAAGGGATACCCCAAAACAGCACTCTTACTCCATAGTGACACCTTGTGTCCCATCACTAATTAATTATTAACTCGCTAATTATACGACATAATTCATCCAAAATCAATAGGCTTCTGGTCCGACATATGATGAATGCACATGCAAAATCTGGAGCAGATTCAATCTTGCTTTCGTGAGATATCGCGTGCATCTAACAGACAGACAGACAAATACCTATCAACATACTTACCGATTAAAATCGATAAGTAATAATGAAGGTTGGCAACGATGACGGCTTACGTACGTACCGTACCGTACGTGCAAATCGAGGGATAAATTGATTGAGTGTTTGAGAACGCGCGATTTAATCATTTGTCAATACCGGTACCTATTACTTTGCCCCTAAGAATACTGGATAACAGACCTACCATCCTACCCTATCGCACATCCGAGGTACCCATATATATTAATAAAATATTGGACATAACTTAAATTGTACTTATAATTTTGGGAACATCGTTTGAGCGCGTAGGATGACAACGTTGATCCCAAGCAGAAGGCATTTTTTTTGCATTTTTTTTTATTTATTTATTCTGTTTTTATTTTATTTTCGTTTTATTTTTAATTTTTTTTTTCCAAGATTCTTTTTAATTTATTTTTATTTTCAGTTTATATCTTTTTAAATTTCACTAAATTTCACATTTTCAGTCGAAACTAGGCATAATCCAAAGTAAATCAATAAATTTGTTTCAGATGTAAGCATGTCTGCAAAGTGGTTTTATGTTGCCAATGCGGAAATTTTGTTTAGAGAATTTCTTGAAAAAAGATCTGAAATATTTCAGTTGAACAGTAATTTCAAAATTACTAAATCTCCGAAAAGTCCAAAAATGGTGATGCAGACTCGTTGCTAATTTTTAACGGCATAATTCGTTGAATTTAATAGAATGCAACATTGTGACTCACCAACGGGTGGTACTGGGAAGAGATTTTCAGCCAGTACATTTGACATTTATCATGTTATCCACGATGAGCTGATGTGGGATATTATGACATCATAGATTGGTACCTATTGTACATTTATCAAGAACTACGCGGACCGGCAGTTTTATGTCTTATATTGTGGACAGTTTATTGCCGATAGAGAGGTTTTCATCCAGCGCATTCCTCGTGTTATCAACGATCAGCTGTTGTGGGGTATTAGATATCATATATAGATATCATATCTGATTGTTCAATCAACATGTGAAGCCTTAACCTTGAAAGCTGTCACCGTTTCGATCACTTGCCGCTTCGGAGTTTTTTTTTACGCGTTTTAAAGTAATTATATGAACGACCAACTGTTGTGAGGTATTATTTTATTGGATTGCGATTTTCCATATATCTGTCCATATGCTCGGATCTGCGAATTTTTTATGTATCGTGATCTGCATATACCTCGTAGATGCAACCGCATATACATACATTGTATCTTATGAAATGATCGGGCAATATTTGTACATCAACAAAATGGCTGTATTTGTATATTGAGTTGGCTATATATGCATGTGACTTTGGCAGTATATGTATGGCACGTTACCAACCCTTTCGATATATTGAACATATTGACGAAAACTCTATTTGAGAAATTGTATTCGATTTAATAATATAGTTGAATTAACAAAATGTCGATTCAGATTTCTTCCTCCAAAACAAAACAAGCCTATTCTTCTTGCAAGTTATCCTGGATCTGGCAACACATGGATAAGACATTTGATAGAAATTGCGACAGGAATATATACAGGAAGTGTGTATAACGATGCTGATTTATATGAAGGAGGTATGGATTAACGTTTCTCTTGGTATGCCAAACACTTTTGCTTATATCCAGTTCCATTTACAGTTATTTAATTACACAAACACTTTGGAGGCATCATGGCAAACATTTACTAATAAACTCCCATTCGTAAGCTCCATTAAGATCATTAAAATAAATCTAATACCTAACCTTTTAAACGCTAAATATAATGTTTGTCGTCAGCCGCGCTGCACATTAGTCTATTTTTAGTTAAATCTGTAATGAATTATTATCACAACAACAACCGCTTGAACATCACCTCAACGTTAACAGTTAGGCAAAACGATACTTTGATTAAAGGCAACTCACAAATTGTGGGTTTGAAATTCGTTAACTGAGATTCGACAGATGGCACAAATAAGTTACTTTGTCACTATTCTGTTTATGGAATGGTACAATACAACCATATATAAATATATAAAAATTTTTGCAACGATGCAATTAAAGCTAAAAAGAATTTGTAATTACACAGTGAAACGTCCTTTTTGTGAAAGGTAGACACAAAATGATTTATATTGTAGCAAGAGACGACATGAGCTGACAAATTCCAATCAATGCGCCATCAAGTCCACATCGGAAAACATTGCCAACAAGTACCGCAACAGAGGTTGATAAATCCGGAATGATTCCGTTCAGTTCGGGACGAATGTTGGGAAATTCTGAAACAATAATATAATATACCAAAAGTAGTTCATGGGTATTTTGAAATCTGAAACAAAACAAACATCCAAAGCGTAACCTCCCTTTGAATTTTGAGTGGTTTAATTTGCTAAACAATCGAAAAAATGTATAACTTCTTGAATAGTTAAATGTACGGGGGTACAAATGTCCGAGGGTGAGAAATGATAGTGACCATGGGTGCAAATGTACGTGCGTGCGAATCTTCATGGGTGTCATTGTACGTGGGTGCCAATATCCGTGGGTTCAAATTTTGCGCCAATGTTCATCCTCCACATGAATGTAAAAGTTAATATTTTAGCATGCGTGACCGTTTGTTGATACCGCTATGATGGTAAACAGTACAACCTACAGTGGCGGCGCGTCAATAGGGCCAACCGGGGCAATGCCCCGGTTGTTTTTTCGGTATAATAAAAAATATTCGAAAATACCTCAATATCGGTTGCACAGACTGTCTACACTAGCCATATTCTCCCGACATGGTTCATTTTTCGCTCGCAAAGCCTTCGCCGAACGTCGATGGGGCGACGCCGATTTTGCCCCGGTTGCTCATTGTATATCGTATTCTCTCTTTTATCTTCCACTCGCCGCGTTTGTCTCGTTTGTTTTCTGTTTCTTTTACTAAATCATCGGGGCCGATCGGGGCTAGCCCCGAAATTATGACGACACAATGCCGACGTTTCTTACAACAACGTGTTGACATATTCACGCATTCCTTCTCGTTCGTTGGTTGCTTGAAGAGTTGATAGTTTCCTCGCCTTCGTTTTTGTCGCTTGTTTCCTATTTGAATCAGTTAGAGACCCTTAGTCCATTTGCTTTCGATTTTCCACATTCCTTTTGAGCTCTTCACTTCTTTCCGGCTTCGCATTTCTTAGCCTTAGACCTCATAATGAATAAGGTTGATGCACTACTTCGCACTCCGTTTTCGCAGCTGCCGCTGGAACAAAAATTAGAGGTACAACGTCTTGGGCCTTATCAACCAAAAAATTGTTCACTGGAACAATCCCATGACGGAGAAAAGCGTCGGCGTACATTCTGCGCAGAAACTTGGTATAAAAAACACGAATGGTTGTTTTACAGCGAGGACAAAAATGCACTTTTTTGTTTTTATTGCCTACTTTTTGCTACCGCCCGTGACTCACGTTGGTGTAAATTAGGTTTTAGAGATCTTAAACATCTTTCCGAGCGTGCCAGGGATCATTAATCTTCTATGGAGCATCTGGACAATGCAGTAAAATACCGAACATTCGGAAATGTTAATATTGCAGCACAGTTGGATGAAGGACGCGCGGTTTCTATTCGTCGGCACAACCAAAACGTCGAGAAAAACCGCCATGTTCTCGGTCGATTAATAGATGTTTTGAAGTTCATTGGTTGTCACGAGCTGTCCCTCCGTGGGCACGATGAAAGGGCTGGCTCTTCTAATAGAGGGGTATTTTTGGATATGGTGGAATACACCGCATCCCTAGATACAGTATTGAGAGATCATCTTGATGCCGCAACTGTTTCGAAAGGGACATCTAAGGATATCCAAAATGATTTGCTCGACTCAATGTATAAAATTTATTTACAACATTTGGCTCTAGAAATTGAGAATTGCCAGTTCCTTTCGATTCAGTCTGACGAGACAACTGACATCACGTGCGTTTCCCAACTGGCTGTGATTTTTCGGTTTGTGAAAGATGGTAAACCTACCGAGAGATTTCACAGCTTTGTACCAATCGTTGATCGCACGGCTTGCGGGATATCGGCTGTACTGAAAGAAGTGTTACAGCCTTACAACGCGAAGTCAAAATTGATGACTCAAACTTATGACGGCGCGGCAGTCATGAGTGGGTCGAAACATGGTGTTCAAGTTTATATAAAAGAAGATTTTCCTCATGCGCATTTTTTACATTGTTATGCACACCAATTTAACCTCGTTATTAAAAATATGTGTCTTGATACCCCTCTCGTCCGTATATTTTTTGCAAATGTTTCGGGGTTTTCTTCATTTTTTTCCGTTTCGCCGAAGCGCTCTGACCTCCTTCGCCAGATATGTAGCCGCCGTCTCCCAGCTTGTGCACCAACACGTTGGAACTTCCAATCACGCGTGGTGCAGGGCGTGTCCGAAATTAGGTCTGAGCTCATTGGGTGTTTCAATGGCATTCAGAGCTCCCCGGTTTGGGACGAACGCTCTGTGAGGGGGCGGCAGGTCTAAAGCGTCTGCTAGAAGATGGTGAGTTTTCATTTTTTCTCGCTTTTTTCTCCACAATATTCTATCACGTGGATGTATTATACGGCGCATTGTAGTCAAGGCTAATGGATGGAGCGTCTGTTCAGTCGTGTATTTCAGACTTCTGCGATGCTGTATCTCGTATCCGGGAAACAATAAAATACGACGACACATGGAGTGCTTCTTTACGCCGCGGGCAAACAACGCAGCGTTTGATTTTGTCTGCAAAGGAATACTGTGACATTCTGGTGAATCAAATAGGCGATCGTCTGCGCACTGAACACCTTGCCGCGTTCTCTTTGATGAACCCCAAAAATTTTTCAAAATTTGCACGTCAATTTCCCATCCATTTGTTGGCTACTGTCTCCAAATTTTACCCCATGATAAACGTGGGTAAATTGGAAAATGAATTGCAATGTATATACACCAATCAAACTTTTTTGAACATCACATCAACTTGCGCGCTCCATGGGTTCCTCATAGATAACACTCTAGTAACTACCTTTGCGGCGTCTGCAAAATTTCTGGACATCATTTTGACGACGCCTATTTCTTCCGCCGACGCAGAGCGAACATTCAGCACGCTGAAGCGTATTAAAACGTATCTCAGAAACAGAATGAAGCAAGATAGATTAAATTCCTTGGCTGTTTTATCCATTCACAGAGACGTTATTTCTGGGATGCATGACTTTAATCAGCGCGTTATTGAGCATTTTGCTTCCAAGAAACCGCGGCGTGTTGCATATATGTTGAAGCAGTAGAAGTCTAGCAGCATATATATCTATGAGTGAGCGACGCATGTCCTTATCTTTGCATTACCTTTCCTTTCTTCATAGTAACGTTTTAAACCTTATTTTAGGTTTTGTCTGCTTTCCCGAAGTTTCTGTTAATATGTCATTGTATTTATCTGGGTAAAAATTTCCTTTCCTTTTGAAAGAGGTTTCAAAATAAACTATGTCTATATTTATTAATCCCTTGACTTGGACCGGTTTTAAAGACACTTTCTTATCGTTAATATTGTCGCTTTTGCCGATTGGTTGTTACCGATGGAATGGTTTTTATACTCATAAAATGATGGGAGAACTTACAGCGCTCATCCTGTCCCCGTAGATGGGGGTGACTTGGTCCCGCAATAGCTTGCACCGGTTGTCAAAATGACCACGCGCCGCCACTGACAACCTAATATATGCCACGGGGATCAAGGCGGTGGACAGTCAGCTCTGTAGCATGCTAGGCCAACAGCTTCGGGTTGCTGGGCCTGCAGGTTGGGTAATGGTCCACGCGGAAGAGTAATTTCTTCCAAAAACTGCTTTAGCGTAGCTTGGTAACCACACTATAATAAAGATGCGGTAAAATATCCCAACTCTCGTCTTGGGTAGACACATACATCTTGTAATTATAGTTCATTTACATGTGAATTTTTGCTGTTTCCACGTTTTCATTTATATTTGTTTCATAAAAAAGTCATTTAATCGAATTGCGAGGAGGCTCTAAGAAGAAGAACCCCGCGGTTGCAATTGGAAATTGTCACATTGCTGTCACTTAAATATATGCTATGCAAATGTCCGCAGACTGAGGTGGAAATTCTCATTTTTGACTGATGTTTTTGCTCTTTGTGAGACAACCCTTGATCACTTTCTCAACCTCCTCATAACGTTACCTTTGTCTTCAATCTCGCTCTGTATCTCGTATCAGTTTCTGCCTTCGTCTCCTCAATTTCTGATCATATTTCGTTGCAACTTCAGTCAAAATCCATTGCATATCATGAGTAGTTCCTCCGGACCTTTTATGATTAAAAGAAAGGTGACTGGGACAGAAAACTTTTGCGCCTTGGACACATTTACATGTAACATTCCTTTTGGATCGAAGCAATGTCCTGCTGCGACGTTAGCGTAACGAAATAGATCTTTCCACTGTTATCGATGCATAGCATCTACCAAAACAATAGTCGGAATTAAATGCAGAAGATTATTTGATAAAGTCACAAAGAATACATATTGAACAAAAACTACGTATTGCTGAATAAAAAATAGATCAAACAAGGGGAAATTTGCCATTTCTGACGCAAGGCAAGAAACTACTGTATTACACCTTTAGTATTGTATCATGTTCAATTTTTTGATTTTTTTTTCATTCTGTTTAGTTTATTTTCAGTGTTGCTTTTCTAACACTACTGCGTTGACTAAGTGCTAATTTTAGTAATATTTTCAAAAGGCTGTATGTAACTGACCCGATGACCTAATGACTGTATTCGGCTGTATTCAATTTTTTGACTTTATAAATGGGAAATATTTGTCACAAGAATTAACCAATAAACAAATATTCGTTTTAAAATGTTTTAAACCGGTTGAACAAGTCTTTACAATTCAAAGACATATTTAACATAAAAAAGAGAGCGATGGTCAAATATGTGGACACGAAAACCAAAGCGAAGCAATATCATACCGGGTACGGTACGGTCAAAAAACGTTTTCGAAGTGAAAAACGAATGGCATAGAGCTTACAGAACGTTTTAAAATAAATAAAAGTAACAGAGACAAATGACTACTGGAAATTTCAAAGCAATTGGTCCAGTAGTTATAGAGAAAAAATATTTTTTTATAACAATAACAAGAAAAATATTAACGACAAGAACAACAACATAATAACAAAACGATCCATATGTACACTTTGTGTCCAAAAATAAATAATAGATCAAACATGATGTCGATTTGATGTTGACCTCTAATGCTTGAGGCTTGAGCCTAATTTTCGATCTTGCTCCTGAAATGGTACAGAATCTCTTGTCCTAGCTACAAACTCTCTTCCATTGAGTATTTTCCATATCTTATAATGGACTGTGTTTTTATGAACACTTGAACACTCGTTCCTCTAAAAAAGTTCTCAGTAAACAAACTCGGTTGGCTGTGAACTCGCACCAAGTCACTGTCAGTTACATTTATGCTTATTTTTTTTGAAGAACTTCAGTTATGTGGAATTCACAACCTCAAGCTGCTTTCTTGATCATGTTGACATGAACTGCCTTAAGTCTCGCTTCAATAGATATTTACTAAAGCGCAATCTTACACTATAATTATTCATAGTAGTACAGTACATAACCACATGTTGCATGGCGAGCAAAATTGAATGAAAACAGTTTTTCCCTATAGAAATTACTTCAAAGTGAGAAATTATGCAGCAATCAGCGTCGTATCACACGAATGTTACGAGCTTTTTGGGCCTGCAAAGAATGTATTTGCGCGTCAGTGCACAAACCATATAAACAATAAATGGAGAAAAATTGACGTCTTCAAGAGAAAATATTAAAAATATATACTGAGGCTTGCTTCGAGGGTCATGTGATCACATGATTTCTGTAATAACAAGTTTTTACTTCATGACAGAGTAGCCATGTGAAATTCGCGCGAATAACGAAAGTCTAATATTCAAAACCTTACGGGATTAAGTTTCAGATATTGGATCTGATGCAAATTAAGTAGCAATGTCATGTAGCGAAAAAAAGTCTTATTGTTATGATTCATTGTCTTGTCAGATCATGCTCTATTAATCTACTGTTGTTATATTAACTATATGCGGAAATACAAGTTCGTTATGCTTATAATGGCGTATTTATTTCACCCTCGTGTCTATATACTGTATTTGTAAATTATTTCCTTGTTTGAGGATATTATAAAGTACAAACGAACTCGGAGTTTTCTCATATTTTTCGCAGATATGCTGGGAGGATTTTTGTCAGCGATTTCTGGAAGAACCATCGTCATCAAGGATCATCTGTTTGGACTTAAAATCTCAATTAACTACACGATGGACAGTCTTGCTTATACGCAACCCGTACGATGCGACATTAGCCGAGTTTATGAGAATGAATACTCAGGGCCACATTGGAGTTGCAAACAACGATATATTTCGAAAACCAGGTAAAAAGGATATCCAAACAAATTAAAATAGTGTACTCACGGATACTCATTAAGTCAGATATATTTATAACTGCATTTAACTTGAATATTGGACAACTTGGCAGGTGAGGTACCGTATTCTGTCAGTTAAAGTTTCATTCCTAATTCCATGCCTTTAATGCTTACAGACGCATGCATGCTAATACGTCAAAATATACGAATCTAAATCTTTATTTTACAATTGTTTCAAGGTTTTAAAGCTTTTTGCAAAAACCAACTACCATCTTTTTGGTTCGGCATCACGAAAGTAGTTTTGAAAACTTTTGTGGACAAAGTTGTTGTTGTTTACTTTGAAGATCTGGTGAAAAATCCAATAAAAGAAATACGTCGTATTGTTGAATTCTTACCTAAAGAAATTGTTGGATCGGACGAAGAATCGTTTGAACGGAGATTAATGTGTTTGAACTTGGATTTGGCAGGAAAGTTCAAACGACCGCCACGAAAACTGAACTTTGATCCTTTTAATGAATTACTGAGAGGAGAAGTTGACAAAAGTATTGAAAACATGAACGAATTATTGCTTGAGCGCAATCATCCTCCATTGCCTCATTCGTATTTTTTACCATATAATGTGACCTAAGATCAATTATTGTGATAATTCCCAAGTTATGTTATTGCTGGGATTTAAATTTTTGCCATTCTTCATTAGCTTTTTAACTGCTTGGTCACGGACTCGAAAAAGATATTCGTGAAGAGATCAGGTCGACATAACGTGATCCAGGTCGGTTCTCACTTTTATGTACTGTCTGCCACTTATAACACTCTATCATCATCGCAATATAAAAATTGACTAATTACAAATCATAGTGTTTTCAACGAGATAGACGCGCTTGGTATCTTTAACGAGTTTTTACTTTTTAATCGGTAAGTATGTTGATAGGTGTTTGTCTGTCTGTTAGATGCAAGCGATATCTCAAGAAAGCGAGATCGAATGATGAATTATGTCGTATAATTAGCGAGGTATTAATTAATTAGTGATGGGACACAAGGTGTCACTATGGAGTAAGAGCGCTGTTTTGGGGGATTTCCTAACTTTCAATCGATAAGTCTTCGGTCTCTGACCGATATTCTCGTTTGATATTTGGAGACATTTTGGTCAGATAAAATCTTAAATCTCCCCGTTCTCTGATGGAAAGGCGATTTCTTCGGTTTGATAGTGGTCTCGCGTCTAAAACCCCCTTTTATACGAAATAATTCTCTAAAACACCGGTTCCCAAAGGGGGCTCTTTATATAAATCAATAAATTCATTTTTCCTTTCCATGTCATTTACTTTCTGTCACGTATTTCCCCTATTGTAAGTACCAATAGACGTTGGCACTATTTGCTGCAAATCCGTGAGCTGCATTTCATTTATCTGCTGAACCGTGTTTAGCGAACATGAGTAATATTTTAGGATTTCTAAAAAAATCGAGCAGATTTGAGGAAGAAGAGTTGACCTATTCTCTTTATTATTTATGCTTACATGTTTAAAAATTTCATATTGCATAAACATTAACGATCACAAAATTGAGATTTATTCATAAAGGCAGCAATTTATTTTGTGTAATTGCGCCCTATGTTCATTCCCTGATAATTTGGCGCCTCACGAACAAAAAGTTTGGAAACCGCTGCTCTAAAGAAATCCTGGAAATGGAATAAGCCATGGTTCTACTTTGTCAAAAACGCGGGTATTGGCCATAAGTAATTGAATTCGCCACGCATTTGTAATCGAAGACGCGCACTTTTAGACTTTGTCAAGAAGAAGAATAGTCGAAGGCGGAATCACAACCTTTTTAACACATTCGGATTTCCGAATCGCATTGACTAACTGTAGAAAAAATGTATACAAAGGTCGTTCACTATATTCTTTAAGGTAGATCGACGTATCTGAAAATAACCAAGTGTTAAATGTTAGTGGAACAGGTTGATCAGTGGATGATAATGTCCACAAGTACAAATCAGAGTTCACACAAATGCAAAATGCTATTGTTATCAATTGCCAGCATTGGTGGGTTTAAAAGTACGTACCTGAAATGTTATGTTTATTTATAAGGCTTCTGATTCTTGTAAAGTCGCGAAACTTGTTTGCATATTTTAACCATATTCTACTCAAAACGTCCTTTTTACGAAATTGTTTTTTCCCTTCAAATGACGAATTAGATAACATTTTATGTAGACAAGTATATTTTATATATTGGTAAAAGTTGTAATCTACTGATATAAACGATTAGACACCCTAGCCTAGCCTATGGTAATTGTAAGGGTCCTTTGATGCAAAGACGTCACAACTAATCGGTTATGACGCCATAATATGGATTTCGAGTTCATATATTGACCTTTTTCTCATAAAATGAAGGCATTATTACGGTTAATACTGTTCGGGTAATTTATGCTTAGAATACTTTGTTTTTAAGGTTGAAGTGATAGAGTTTTTCCAAGGTTATACAAACTCATGTATTCCATCGCTTTTCAATTTTCGAAAAGTAGTTCCATCGCAGCATGGTCGTTCACGTAATGGCTTGTCGGTTGCGTCTTACTGCGCCAACCACTGAACTACAGCTTGAGAAGGTGTGCATGAGCCTATATCGATATTTGTGGCGTTTTGAACAATTTATTGCAAATAAGAAGCGCTTGGCAAATTTTTACATTCATTTTTCTTTAATCTATTTAATACAAAAAAAAATCAAATAGTACAGCCATTTTAAACAAAACAGGCAAAAAAAAAAACGTGATTTAAAACAATTGTTTTAAAACAATTTTTTTTGAACAAATCCCTACCAGAAGTATTACCCATTGATGTCATAAAACGTCTATATTAGTATAATTTTACATTCTTGAAATTAAAAATCCGGAACAGCCGAACACACATACCTGTTGCAAATGAAAGAGCATTCATGCGGGATGACGAACGACATTCTATGCAAGTAAATTAGGAATGTGTTTGAATGAGCGCAATTTCACATTTCTGAGCACGGGATAAATATTGTTACAAAATTGACTTTTGCTTCGTCTACCATTCTATTATTGACATCCGCGACCTGTGTAACAAAAAGCCTTTGTATCTTGTGTCGATCTCCGCTTGTTTATATAGCGTTCTATTGTTGCGATACTTCGAGCATTTTGAAAACACGATAAATTAACTAACATTCAGCAGTAATTCAATCATGGATCCTTTATTAATTACTATCACTGGCATACATATGCTACCGATAAGTTATAGGTGATGGATAGTTGATTTCTTTATCAATAAATAGAAAATATCTGTTCGTCAACTTTTTCATCTTGCGGAAGGTTACAATGGACTGAATATTGCTCAGCTGGAAATGCTCACGATTTTGTCTGATTGACGACGTTGAACGATTCCGAATCAATGCGTTGGTGTTTCTAAGCATCCAGCAGCACCCAGAGCATATCTGAATTACTAAAATGTACTAAATAAAACTACCTTGATAATAGTCTGAGGGAAGGAAAATGAGAAAGGAAGGAAATTGTAAGTCTAGTATGCTCTTTTGATGATACAATAGAGAGGCCAAAAGTTTTTTAAAGCACATATATAGGAGATGAGCCTGAGGTCGAAATCATTTTCAAAGTTCTAACAAATTACCATTTTTAACCGCTATTGATAAATTTGAGATCAGATAACATCATCGCTGTAAAATGCACGATTTAACAAATTATATTGAAAATGGCATTTCAGGTCACGTTTTTGTAGGCTATAACCAGTGGTGGGATTCAGCCGGTTCTATAGAAACGTCTCATGGAATCTTATGAGATCAGCGAACCGGTTAGCATTACTGGTTACTCTCAATGACTTTTTGTAACAGAACCGGGTGAAAAATGTGACTTTTGTGATGGAACCGGCTGACAAAAAATTTGAATCCCAACTCTGGCTATAACTATATGTGGCGGTTGAAAATTATAAAATATGTGCTTTACCGAAAATTCTTACAGGAAAAATAAAAGGACTAAAGTTATGGATAGCACGGAATTACACTTAGTATATATAGCGGTCAACAGTTTGATATTTAATGAATAAAATCAATCTCTGTAACCGACGCTAAGCTCATATAAAACGATATCGCTATGCTGGTGTTTGAGACTGCTAGTATAACCGGTGATACAAAATATTGATTTTAAACACGACCTTTACTTTCGAGTGAATAAAGAATTTGATGTTTTAGAAATATTCTACATTTTTTGTAGCCACTTGATAGCAGTATTCCAAGAATATAATGTGCTGATAAGCCTGTGATATAGTCAGGTTTTATTATCATTGTTAAAATCTTTTACGTCATTATAAGTTGAACTGGGAATGTGATAAACATTAACAGCGTACTCATACGACTATCGAGAATCCATTGTTCCAAGTACCCACTCGTCTTTCAAACAACTCCATGGCTAGAGAGTGTGCTTACTGTATGGTCTTTTTTGTCTACTATCGCCGTTGAGTAATCTGAACAAACAGCGAAGCATGTGCAGTGTGATAGAGGGTTTGTGTCTGTTAACAGTTAGTAAGCATAAATCCTTTGTTGAAGATCAGTAAAGTTATTTTTGAGTATAAAAAATGTCACGATATAAGATAGGTAGATAGGAATTGTCAAATATGAAACGCAGTCAACAAGCCACGGGTAAATTTCAGTGTGTTATGCGCCTATCAATCGTTATTTTATATACAAATTTCGAAATTAAATCTATTTTGATTTTGCATTATTTCTTTTAGAAACAAAAATTGAGTTTTATGAAAAGATTAATTCGTCACTGCCTCTCCCATTTGAATAGGAGAAGTCTTTTATGATTTTAGGGTACTCCCGAAGTATGTGAACCAAGATGGCGGCCACCGGAACGTAGTATGTGTACCAGGTTAACGCTAGGCCATAATTTTATTCCAATTTTCCTTATTTCAGTTCTATCACGAGTTCGGGAACTAGCCAAGTGACTCCCGTAGTATTTGTACCTGACATTATGGCCTAACCCTAACCTGATGCATATACTATACGTTCCGGTGTCCGCCATCTTGGTCACATACTTCGTGAGTACCGATTTTTGTTTATTTTTACTCTATTATCTTTCTCACTCACATTTGTAATATCGAATGAACTTGAATGCTCCAATTTGAACTACATACAGGATGCAAGTAAACATTTTACATTTTTTTATTGTTGAATTGTCAAATAATGCAGAATACTTGTGTACAGAATAAACAACTATACAAAGCACAAGAAACCACTGATTTTGTGTTATGATTTCATGCAGGTCATCAGATTTGCATGCAAATTTTAATAGTTTATTCATGTAACTTTAAATGGTAAATTCAACATGAAAGCATTATCCAGCGGTGAAAATTTTCCACCAGATAGTTTTGATGTTGATTTAATTGCTCATGCAAGAACAGGATTAGCCCGAGTTCATCAATCAATTGCCAAGCAATCCAAAAAGAAACAAAAAGTGAGGTTTAAAAAAAGAAATTACTGGAACGAATTACTGTTTATAACAATTTTTAGGGTTAAATATATTGCTCTGATAGCTTTAAATAATTTTCTGCTGAAGAACAGCATTTAGTGTTTTATTCCCATGTAATAAATGGAGTTAAACTGAACCATACAGGTATTTGATACAGAAGTATACACTATACATGTTCCCCTTGCGAATAAAATAATATAAAGCAATGGATTAAAGTATATGTCGTTTTGTGCGTTCTTTCTTCTGAAAATTTGATTTATAATTTAACCAGTCGGTGTCCATTTTCGAACAAAATCCTTCGACAAATTCGAGTAAATTCTGCAAAAGTAGTCCAGAAAAGAAACACGTTTCAAAAAATAATAATTCTTCAGATAAAAAGGTGGTAACACTGCCAAAAACTGCTAAAGATAAGGAAAAAACAAATTCTAATCAGAAAAATGACGGAAAAAAGACAATAAAGTATATCAGTATTAAAGAACCTCCAAAAAGAACCGCCTTTTATGAACATAGTAAACAAGGAATGAAATACTGGTATGATGACCGACAATCAAAGAGATGTAAGTTTTATTCGTTTAAACCATAGCCAAAAATAGTAACTACTTTTGGGCACTATCGAGACTGTTTGTATATCTGTCTTATTTTCATGATTTTGGCGCATGATTTTTTTTTTCTATATATTCACGTTACATAAAATTGAAATTGCGATAACAAAAATGTACGTGAAATGAAGTGTCACCGCGATTATATAATTTAAGAACACTTATTAGTTATTACAAAGCATCTGGCTCCTTCAATCAAATTTTGATCGATGCGATTTAGCAATCAAGATATACTGGTGAATGGTTAATGGTCATGCTTGATTTGAATCGCGTAAAATTTGTCATGGTTTCATACTGGATTTAATCTTGTGTCCACAATGCCACTTTTGGAGAAATACATCGGATAAGAAATATTAAATTAGAAAGATCAAAGCAAGTACAAGCGATTTAATGAAGCTTTCATTTCTTTGCGTTCATTCCAAGAACTGAAGTGGCCATCTCATGTGGACTCAATAAAAAATGTCATATGCTCACGTAACGATTTTTTTTTTCACATCTCCCAGTTCTCAGCAAAAACGTACTCGGAAGAACAGGGACATTACTTGGACTTGTTGATTCACCATACAAATAGATACCAGCGATAATATATGAATGAATCGTATTATTTCAAGTTTTGAAATATTCAACAATGAACGTTCAGCATCAATTTGATATGTAAAGCTGTGATACCACACAAAACTGTACCAAAGACAACGTTTATTCACTAACCTTTTGACTAAGATAAATAATAAAATGTTTTAATATATACATTCGTTGCCTTACTGAAGATACTGATTTATTTCCACCACTTCAAACTATTCTGTTTGCGGAATATGTAAAAACTTTTTGCCGAAAGGCTGTATAAGTATAGAATGCTCCCTGTTTAACCGTCTTTACATTTTCTTAATGTTCTAATTTACAGTATATCAATTGTTTCAAAAAAATTTTTGTATAAATGAATTTTATTTCAAACAAAATATATATTATCTTTTAACTCATTTTTATGTATTACTAAACGCACAGACAAATATCCAAATTGTGTAACATCCACGTAAATATCGTATAGACAAAAAATTATATAATAAAAAAACGCTTGAATTAAATTTTAATAATACAGCTTTATTTTGTAATACCTCTATATTTTATTAATTGTACTTTGTGTCTGGCTTTGTCTATGTTTTTAAAAAATAAACCAATCTTGATTTGTATAACAAATCTTAAATATTATAATTTCATATGGTTTATTATTCTTGCATTTGTATAGATTTTCTTCTGTGTGCTATCTTATATCTCCTCTCATACTATTTACAAGGTAAAGTGTGTAGGAAGACGGTTGCTGAAACACAGTCCAATATATAGAATGAACAAGAATTCAAATTTTTGTTATTCATGTTAATTATTTTCTTATAATAAACCAATATTCTTGCTGTATTTTTCTGATATTTAGAGCTTTTTGATGAAAAAAAAAAAATTAAAAAATACTGTCCCTTTACTCGAATTTTGATCGGATCTACTTGATTCATCCAGATGAAAACATACCGTAAGTATGAAAAACCACCAAACGTGTAGGTGATTACATATTGAGAAATGTACATAGGAGAACTGGAGAAAGATTGGATAAAGCTAAAGGTCTAAATATAAAATTTTAAAATTGTTCCAACAGATTCTCAATAAAAATGCCACATTTATGCTTCAAGACCCTCTAACCACGACCGATAAGCATCTAGTGATAAAATATGTATGTCGATTTGAAATTGAAAAAACTTACTGTTAAATATCAATGCATTCTTGCGTAACTTCGCTATCGTGTTTAAAAAGTTTAGTCGGTAGCTATCAATTCGACATATATCAAAGAGATTAGATATTTTCACTCATAATCAAGTCGAATTTACAATGTATAGAATGGTGAAAATTACCCGCCATAACGGAAGTTTCCGAAGTACGTCATAGATAATATAATGATTATCTTGAAACACGTTTACCTAAAATAACTAAAGCCAGATAATTAAAATGCAAAACTACTCTTTAATCTGAGATGGACTTAATGAAACGGACTATTGCGCTATTTGCCCGGAAGGCATAATTGTCACTACACAGCGCTTGACAAGCTCGTTTTCAGATCAAATTTGTTAAACTATACTAGTCAAGTTGTTGCGTCAAATAATCCAGTTTATAGGAAGTGAAGAATAGTACTTATTCATAATAATTCGTTATTAAGTAAAATGCTGTTTTCACCGTGACGATATTTGCTAGAATGGAATAGTCACTGAAAACTGGGAAATAGCTAGGAATAAAATTCGTATCTGAAACCATGATTCATTGATATCACATATTTGGTGGGCGGTTAGAACCATAGTACATGTGGCCTGAGTGATGCGTGAACTTACAGAGATGGCAGAATTGTAAGAACAGGCTACAGAACAGATAAATTAAGGGGAACTGAAAACTCTCAGGAATTGGAATAATTATCCATTTTTTATTGTGAATTAGTGCAGTGAGGCTTAGTGCTATATGCTGATAAACCTTTTGTGCCAACATTACTTTTCGTTCGACCATTACATAACATATCACTTAATTTTACTTACCTTTCAGTAGCATGCTTATGCTATACACACTTAATAAATAAAATCCTGCTCAAATATTAGTTCCATGTGTCGTCTGATAGTTGTCAATACATATAAATTGAAAATTTTTCTTAAAATTAACATTTGCTAGACGTCTAAACTACTTTTCTGATCTTTGTAGACTGTGAGTGAGTAAACAGCAAAACACATTGTCAGGCGATGAGACCTGTTTTAGCCAATCAATGGCTACTTAATAGAAAGGAAATTAAACAAAATTAAAGATTACAATATCAAAATAAGTTTTAAACTTTCATAGTTTTTGAAATGCAGATGTTTTTCAGTTAGATAGTTTACAAAGTAGCAAATTCAAAATGTATGGCAGCATTTCCGCTAAATTTGAAACGATAAGAAATTTTAGACCATAGCACGGTGGTTAGAATATAAGATATATAACAATGCGGTAATGGGCGACTAATCTACGATCATTTGTTTAAAATTAGCAGTTTCAGTATGTTATTTGCACGTAAATTATTACGATATTTTTGTGTTATCGTCATTTTCATATTCGTCATTTTAGCGGTTGATTTCTACATACCACGAAGGTAATATTTTTTCACTAATTTATTGTATAATTTTTCTCACCATAAATAAGGATATATATCTATATATACAGTCAAGAATATTTCTATCCTATCATTAATTGCATTTTTGGATTTTATAATGGACTGCTTTTGTAATAAGTAGATCTTAGTTCAAAAAATCCCGGACCATTTACTGAAAAATGCCACGTTGGCAGTTATAATGACATATTTTAGTTTTGCGAACTTGATTGACACAACTACATGAATGCATTTATGGTTCCTTTATTTACTGACAAACTGATATCAACAATTTATGATGTTAATGATATTTAAACAGCATTGATGTGTTGAAGAAATTTCTTTAGTGTAAAGAATTCGGTTTTCATTGTTTTATTTTGATTTACTATTTCTTTATCTGCACTCTCGATATTTTCTGATTGTTTTTTCTTTTTCTTTAAAGAGTGATAGACGATGAATTGGACGAAAATTCCGTACGGGAAGACAACACAATGGTAGCTCTGGTAAACAATGATGAAACTCTTCCTGCAATTTTGAGAGAAGCCGATAAATACCTCGATCCATCAGAAAAACCATTAATCCTCAAAGAAAATAAGAAAAGTAGTCCAAAAATAAAAATTCAAAGAAAAAAGAAAATTCAAAGTAAAATAAATACCTCATTCAGTACATTAAAAACAACCAGTACCTCACCCAGGTTCGATCAAGACCAACTTAGAATAAATGAAATGATAGAGTGGGAATTACCTCAAAGGAAGACGAAAGTGAAAGTTACCCCAATAGGCTGGGCCTATAAAGGACCGAACAATATAAGATGCAAGGGTAAGTAAAATATATATTTCTACAAATGTGTTTTTATTTATAGGATTATCTGACCCGAAGTGATGCTATATATAACTTGGGCAGCCACATAAACTGTCTTAACGTCTACGGTAATATGACCCTGTCATTTTCCCATATTTATCCATTTTTAATAAGGCACCGATGTGATTTTATTTGATACTCAAATTTCATTACAATGTTCAATCCTTTTTTCTCCTGATAAAATTCAGAACTCATAAAGTTAATTTTTTATTTACTTATAGTTAACAGCAATTTTATTATTTTTCTTTTAGTGTCTAAAATTTTCACGTAGTTTTCATTCATCGTGTATACTAAATTTTTGGTACATATAGAAAAGCACTAACAGCAACATACACACATTTCCATATCACTGCCATTTTTATTTTTCAGTGAATGAAGTTGGTTGTTTTTTACCTACTGAAAATCTGGTAATAACTGAAAAAATAAAAAGAATAATATTTTCGAACATGACCGATTGGATTTGTATAGAGATGTGCTCAAAAAGGTATGTTAACAAATACATTTGCATTTCTTATTTTTAAATTTGGAAATTGTGGAAAATAACTTTACGGATCACATCATCTCCACTTACATCATTTTATTATCTTAAAAATGATCTTCAAACAGTTTTCCTGCTTGTTTTGGGGAGCCTTCGGCAAATACTAAAGTTTAGGACGGTATTTGATTTCTTTTGCATTGCTATGGAATTGTGGCATATTAGTAACATTGGCAACACCCGTAATCAGTCCGATTCAGGTACATGTATTGTATATATCAATATATATAGTTCTGTAATTCTTCAAAGCATGAGGTATGCACAGATGCAAAATATACATTATTATATGAATGGAATATTTGAGAAAAATAAATTTGTTCCAATCATCGTCTTTTAAATGTAAGCAAAGTTAAAACTCGTTAAATACCACAGAATGAATGAAAGAACCTAATTAATTTTGATGACACTTCAATTTTTTAATAATCTTTGAAACAACGTGAGATTATTCTGTATAATTGTACCTTTATTTCTTTTTTCAAGCAAACCCTTTCTTTGATACTTTATTTCAAGCATGCCAACTAAAGGTCGCAAACTGTTAGACATCGTGTTTGCAAATATCAGAAATGGCAATGAATGTTTATGCAGTTTTGGAACATCTTCATTTGAAACAATTGTATCACTAGAAGAAGTAAATAAATGTGATGTACCGTGTGTCGGAGATTCATCGATCAAATGCGGCGGAAGAAGAAATATCACTATGGTTTATAGAGTATTGCCAAAATGTTTACCGGGTAAGTACTACACTTAACAAAAATAGATTTATATTTGGGATAGGAGGAGTAGGGATGTCAGCGAAACGTTGTAAATCGACGTATCGAATTTCTACACAGAAAAGCATAACCTGGGCATGATATGGTAGATTTACATTAATATCGATTGTTTTTTTATAAAAGTTTTGCTCACAGGCAACTTTCAACTACGAGTAGAGATTTACAATTATTTTATATGGCAATCTTGATTTGTAAATATTATCAAATTCAATGTTAGCTGTACTAAATATATAGATTGTACTGAAAGATTAAATTGTTTTCGTTGGGTCATTTCTATTTTATTTGTTTTAGCACCTACACTAGAAAGAGTAATCACCGAACAAGTGAAACTTGGTTGTCATTGGAAACCACTGGATTTTGAACCATACATGGAAGAATATTTCATAACTGCTAATCAGTCAACGCTTGCTGCAAAATGTCTTTTGCTCTGTGAAAGTAAAGGATTGATTATCGCAGTTCCGCTTTTGCATGATCGTTGTTACTGTGGACTAACTACTTCCAGGTACATACGTTTTTCAAATCTGAATCTATTTGGGATCGAGCATGAAATGAAAAATGTAAACTAAAAAAGATAGCAAGTAGCAGACTATAATTTTCTAGATAGTTCAGCATTCTGACCGATGACATGAGTTTAAAACGTTTAATGGGCGTTTAAAAGAATTCTTTAGGAATTTCTGGGCGATCTGAGGCCAGTTCCAGCTTCGAGTTTATGTCGATTTGAATATGTATTTATACTTTTGAGCAACGTTCTTGTGTACTATAGAGTTTTTTATGAGTGAAAATTACTTCAAACGAATTGTTCTTGTAATCCTTTCATTCTTGTACAAATTAACATGTTTTTCTTTCTGAATAGCTTCAATTTACAAAATCCTGTTGAAGATACTTTGTGCAAAAAGCATAAAAACGATTATGTGATGGTATATCGAACGCAAAGCGAAGACCGTAGGTGTGCTAAAAGACGATTTCTTAGAAAGGGAGAAATGTACAGAAAAATTGCTCTGGCTACTTTCCCAGGATCAGGAAACACCTGGATGCGTTATCTTATCGAATCGGCAACGGGTATATATACTGGTAGCAAATATGGCGATCGTAGTTTAGCTGCAGGAGGTAATTATTTAGGAAATATATATTTTTCTGTATATTACATGAGATCGTTTCAAAAGTCACAAAATAATATGACATATTGTAAGAAAAATCAATTTTTACACTTTGCGACATTTCTCACTCTGACATAGTTAATTTAAAAGTTGGAACGCGAAGTTAATATCACTATAATTGAACATATACGATTATTATTCTGAATACGTTTTAACTTATTAACGGTAACATTGCAATGTCACATTACTTCATTTTTGCAGGATACATCGGAGAAATACCTTCCATGCATAGCTACAAACTAGCAGTAATTAAAACTCATCAACAAATCGACATAAATAACTCGTCTTTTGATGCCGTAATAAATGTTCATCGAAATCCGTATAATGCAATTCTATCAGAATTTAATAGAAGATCGACAAACAGACATACCGCTGCTGTTGACTCGGACAACTTTGACCGAGAAGGTATTTTAAGATTTAGAATAAATCAGGGGGTGCATTGAGATCATATAGTCGAGTTACAACCTAAAAAGTTATTGTCAATTGCCATTTTTCAAGGTTCGAATAAAATAAAATGTACGGTCAATCACATTACAAAATAGACGTGGGTGTCGTAAGTCAAATCACAAAATCACCACTCGTTAAATAAGTTTCATACAAGAGCAGATCGGCATCGTTTGGACTTGTATAGATGCCCAGTTATAGTAGAAGATCAAATAATATTCATATAACTCATTATTTACCATGTATTTTCACGCACGTAACTTTGATTTTGTTAATGTCGTATATAAACACCAAATCTCATTTACGCCTGCCGGCATTTCCCATATGATCAAGACCCAAACATTGCTAATTGTAGGTATATATTCTTTTCCAAATTTGACGAAATCGCACTATTTAGTGATGTGTAAAAATGGCCTCAGGGGCGCCCGAAAAACCAAAGATGTGCTCACTTTCCACAAATTCCCATCTAAATATACTGAGATGTATTAAATTTGAATTTGATCAAAATAAAAATTAGACAAATCACGATTCTCAATATTTTTTATAGCATTTTCTCAAATAATCATGGGACAGTTTCCTAAAAAATGGAGATTCACAACAAGAGTTGCAGTTCAAACTAATAAATCAAAGTTGATATTTGCATTCGAAGATGCCGTGGAAGATCCGATTAAATACGCTGAAAAAATGGCAAGATTCATAATGGGAGATCATATAGACGAAAATGATTTACAAAATCGTCTTCTTTGCTTGCAACTAGCTTCCACTGGTGATTTTAAAAGGAAAAAAAGACCATTAAAATTTGACCCGTTCCCAGATGAAGCGAAAATACAAATTAATGAACAAATCGAACTGCTCGATTCTACATTGCAAAAAGCTGGACTAGAGCCGTTGCCAGACTACAAGAGGTCACCATCAAGTAGGTGATAATGTATTGCAATATGAATCTTTTCACTGTCAATGCAACAGAGTGAGAAAATCTCTCCTAAAATGAATGGAAAGACAACGAGACTCAAAATACAATCTAACTAAGTCTTTGCCTTGTTGTTGTCAAAGGCTACTGATATCAAATCTACGAAACGCAAATACAAATTGAATATCACAAATATTTTTATGTGGCTTATAACAAGCAACGCAATATCATTAGCCGTTTGATGAATGTCGTATATTTGTTTCGTAGTTTGAATAATTGTAATTTATTTCGCTTATTGTTTGATATTCAAACACATCGTTCGTGTATTAATGTTTTTCAAATTATTTATTTATATTTATAGTTAAAGAGTAGATGGGACAAAATAAATACCTTTTATTCATGTTCATTTGAATCCTATGAATGGCAGAAATTATAGCTACAGTACGCATAATATAATATCCAGCTAATGTAGATTTCGTCAATTTCACATAAGAAACGATAATCCCTAGCAAGTTATATAACTTCAAGCGGTCTTTGTCTTATTGTTTATTTATCAATATGTCTCCAGGTAATACATGACATGCAAATTATTCAAAATAAGTCCAAGTGCAATTCAAAAAAGTAAATCGCACGGATTGCGTAAATTATGATCTATTTTGTTATTCCATATGAGAGTAAATTTGATTAGCAAATAAACTAGCAACAATAAGAGAGAAGATAGAAGCTATACCGACACAAAGAGAAGATGGGAAGCGCGACAAAGTTAGCTTCGCATGAATTTGCAGAGAAGCCGGCTCTTCTTCCCGATCAGCTAATTTTGCCTCGCGAGCAAGATTTGAATTGCGTGTCAGTGGAATTCGAGTACACGTTTTAGGATAGGATGGTTGAGAGAGAGCCATAAACTTTGCTGTCTATCCAAATTTTTTTATCGTGAAAGGCACTAATGCATAAAAACATTACCTACACAAAAATAAGCATAAAAAAGCTCTTCCGTATAATAATTTTTCACAGACAAACAGTGATGCCAGATAAATATATTCAGACGATTTGAAACTGGGCGCGAAACGGATATTATGATGTCACGCTTTCTCATGTTTTGGGATATCTGTTCTTCAAGTTAAGATGATGTTCACTGCGAATATTGTTGAAAGACAAATATTTTATCTCATCCGTCCGTGCATTGAAGATCAATAAATATATATATATATAAGTTTATGGAAATTACATATTATCAGAATATCGGTAAATTGAAGTATCGGTATCGACACTTCTCCAGCAGTATTGGTATCGGCGAAAAAGTGATATCGTAATATCTCTAACTTGTAGTTCGAATGCAAAGTTCTCCTAGCGGATCTAAGCCTAACCTGATACAAAGTCGTTATAACACGGGTACTCGAAAAAGCAGGAATGTGATTCTCTTTGTATTTATGCGCACTCAACAGCAGGGCTATATAATACCAAGATTTGAACTTTTTTGATATATTCACATTCATCCAACAAGATCCAAGAACGAGAACATTGAATACACTGGCCTCGTATTTTTTGTCTTTAGCATCTCATCTTCAATATAAAATATTTATATTTGAGGATGAAAATTGAATGTCACGCGCTTCTGCATCTCTCTACTATTTATATCATCTACAGAACAAATAATTCTTCTTCAATAACTATGCTTAAACAATGTGGACCTAAATACCATTCAAAGATATTGAAGCGTATATATATTTACTTCCGAAAATACTTAAAGTATATGCTGCATGGTCTTAGGATTTAAAACATGCTTGCTAATTATGTAATATCCCGTTATAAGAAACAACATTGACAGAGAAAAGGCCATGAAGGAGTTCCGTTGAAATTGATTTGTCAAGCAAGACTTTAGTGACTAAATTTGTATTTAAAGTCAATAAGGCATGATTACATTTTTTTGCTATTCCAGAATGATTAGAATTTTGTTTTTGTCAATCTTGACATAGAAATGAAAATAAGAATAAAATGAACTTGCAGTATTAATATTGCACGCAATAATTTTATTCTCATAAATAAAATAATTTTCCTTTTGTGTACCTCGATATAAACAAATTATTGTTGCAGTTTAGTTCAGCGTTCTAAACTAAACTATAAGTTTCTATCACATTGTTGACACATTTCCAAAATATTTCGCACGAGTTTAAAAGGGAATTATCAATGCAATGTGGAATATTATCATACTTGAAGGTATATTTCACACAGAAATATAATAAAGATTCAATAGTTTCAAAGGCATGTACAATATCAATACCAGAGATATCGAAGACACATCACTCAAAGTATCGTCCTGTCGTAACAACGATACAAATGTTCGTAAAGGATTAGCAACTTAATATTGCTTTAAACCAGATCAACTGAAATTGGGAATGTTTATGTGACATTCTTGAGAATAAAAATCTTGATATCGAGATATATATAGCCTACAAAGTCAAAGAGTTCGTGTAACAGAACCGCTATAGCGCAGATGTGCATTCGGTCAATGACGAAGCATATAGCTTTGTGTTATCAAACTATTGCCATCATTTAAGATATTTGGACCAAAGTAGGATGACATTGAAGCTGATCTGTTGTGGTTGTGGACACTACTATGCTTCGCGAAGTATTCGAATAATAGATGTGGAAGGCGACAACTATTGTATTGAATTAAATATTTCAAGTTTATAACTATCACCAAATTTGGGTATACCAGTTTTATAGTATACATCATATTCACGTTAACACGAGTAGGTAAACTTTTATACCACTTAGAGTCGCTTTGGGAGCAGATCCCCGGGCAACAATTGCATATTGAATATAAGTCTGTAAAAGTGAATTATAAACTACTTTTAGTGTACTTTAGTCTGTATAATGTTGAAGTTTGCTCAATGCACCGACTGAGCGTGAAATTTTTTTCCGCGATTCTTTGACATCAATGTTCAATCCTAAATATTTGTACAAACAGGAAAGTTTTAAGTTCGATTTTATTAATTTTGATTGTCGGAGCCGTTTTCGAATGATTGCGGCTTAGGCATATATGAAATACTTTTGGATTTTTCGATGGAGAGCTGGCAACAGAACATCCGACCATACCCTCCTTCCATTTCGAGGTTGAAGAACTTTTGAAGATCAGATGTAGATTTGGAGCTACCCATTATCATCTGCGAATAATTTTGTCAGCAATTTCGAACAAAATAAGATGTCGTTTAGAAAATATAAGAAACAATAAGGGCGAAGGAAAGAGCCTTGAATCACATCGGAATCAATTGAAAGAACCTCGGAATGATCAATTCAACTTCCACATATTGAAATCGGCCTTATAGGTCATCTTCAAAAAGAGCATTTGCACGACCTCAAACACCTTAATGATAACGTTTGCGTATGACAGGGGTCGGAAACCTTTTGTCGCTCGCGGGCTAAAATTAAGAGTTGCAAGTCTTAGCGCGCCGCACATATTTTTTTAAATTTAAAAACGGAACAGCGCGAAGATGCGACAATTCGTGAACATAACTCAGTCATTTTATTAAAAGAAAAAAAATTGCGAATGACATTTAATGTGACACTGTCTTGCTGTTGCATCACGCTTAATAGCTTTTTTGACATCGGCAGCACACTGAATGAAGCCAATATTAGAACATTTTCTGAATGGGCATCATTAATTATAGCAGTGATACAACTTTCGGATAAAATATTACTTTTTTCCTCGTTGCGCTGCATCTCAATAAGCTCCATTTGAATATTTTCTGCACCATTGGACCCAGGATTATTTTACCTCGCGGTCCGTAAGTTGCTGGCCCCTGGCGTATGAGTATGTTATGGCTAAAGATATAGAAAGGTTATTTTATGTCTACAAAGATCAAACAAACATGTTTTTTTTTCTCATATTTGTCATAAATATTTTCTGATAGATGTATACTTGCATGACTAGCTGAATGATTTGTTTGAAAACCAAACTGGGATTTATTAACTAGTTAGTCTTTTTTTTTAAAAAGTCACTTAATCTACAATACAAAAGTTTTCAAAAACAATTGCAAACTGCACTTGTAAAACTGAAATTTTTATTATCTAGCATCTGATTGCAAGGAATGTGCCGTTATTTTATAACAAGAGAATTTCGTGTACAATATGGAGTGAACAGATGAATGCTTCTTGATAGCACTCGCTGGTGAAGCCACCTTAAAAGCAAACCTGCCGTTCAATCCCATTTTTTCTGCGATACAATTTAAATTGGCAAAATGATAAAAAAAACGGATCTTGTAGACAGAACACTTATACTACTGACGCAGCAAAGCCACCTAGCAACGAACAGTAAGTTACGTTTCTGTCGATAGATGGGCAAAAAGTAGGACATATATTTAGTTCACATGATCTTGGTCACCTGAACGTTATCATTTGACACATTCCTTCGTAATACAACGTCACAAACAAAATTATAACCTGCAGGTCATACCAAACAAGAAAGCAATGCTCAAATATACGCACACGAAGCCAAAACTGAGTAGAACGGTACCGATAGTCTTGCCGCTTTCGACTGACATCCAGATCGCGGAACCGCCGCACGGTACGCATTTTTTAATCCTGATGACGCTATCGCTCAAATCTTCAGTGGAAGTGTAAAACGAATTCTATAGGCATAGAGCCCACAGGAGTGTTTAAAATAGATAAAAGCCTTCTAGTGACAACAACAAGCTTTCCCCACTGAAGATCTCAAAACAATTGGTTTAGTGGAAGAAAAGCGATTTTTTTCACAACAACAATAACATAATAACCAAACGATTCACAATTCCATTGCGTGTCCAATAACACCTTGGTCTCGTTGGGACGTAATTTCTCGTTGCGTAATTTTCAGTTTTAACCAAGTTTGCTATTATAGACTATAGAGTATAGAGCATGGACAAATAATTTGTTAATACCCTGCTCTTGAGACATTACAGCTTGTTGTTGTGGTTTACTTCCTTCAATTGAATCAGGTAAATTGGTAATATCTCGCATCTTGAATATCGGTGACTGTATACATACTACTGTGTACTGTATAGGATAGCGACGAGATCTAAGTTATAGTTCGAATAAAAAACGAGATGTTAGTCATTGGAATCGTACGCCCTGGTCCACGGATGCGGGCTCGTAGGTTTGAAAATGTTGATGTCGAAGTCGTTTTTTTTTAAGTTAGGAATTCATTCGAGTCTTCATTTCGAACTCTTCAAAATAAAATGTGGGAGTCAGAATTGGCGTTATAGATTTAGAATTAGTAAAAAATTTTAGCTAGTCACGTTTCGCGTTTAGTGGAGTAGTTGAAGTTACCAAACGTGGAACAATTCCAAGTTTTATGAATGACCTGCATTCTACAGGTTCCTAAACATTTGACTCGATTTTAGCATTTGCGACTTCTAATACGTGATCTCAATTCGTATACCGAGATTTTGATTATAGGCCTTCAAGTCAATAACTGGAAGTATGACAATTGTTGGATCGTGGCATCTGCAGACAATCTGGACAAGGGACTGGGTATACGTTTCATAGTTTCAGACTGGTTGGCCTTTTCTGTAATTTATGTTGCAAAAATTTTACTCACTGATCACTTGCTGTTAACTATGACAGCTCTCGATGAAATACGATGGATACCACCCTCATTCGGTAAAAACGATTTCAACATATATATATATATACAATTATTTCAGTAATTACATTTGAAATTTAAAAAGCAAGTTCATTTATGCATCCATGTTGTTAAGTCACAATCACCGAACGATGTAACAGTTTCAACGGAAACTTTAAATGTCAACTTGTTTTTTCACTAAGTAGAGGCATGCACAGCGGTGGGATTCAGCCGGTTCGCACCGGTTCTATAGAACCGTCTCGCGGAATCTTATGAGATCAGCGAACCGGTTAGCATTACTAACAAAACATATAACAAAAGCGGCCGAAAATGTGACTTCTGTGATGGAACCGGCTGACAAAAAATTTGAATCCCACCACTGGGCATGCACGATATCATTGTTGCAATAACATCTCATCTCTCAATTTAAATCAGTTGGGCAAATATGGCCCATACTAATACACGGCAGAATAACCAAATGTTTCAAATATTTTTATCTAAGCTATGCATTTTATTTTTGTTACGCCAACTCAGAAATTTGTAGCAAATTTCATCGAGTATGAATACAGTATAGGTTATTGAGTATGGTAAACATAAATGGCTCAGTTTTGTTTTCTTAGTTTCAAAAGGCCACATAATTAAAAAATATACAAGTTTAATCGAACATGAGCAAATTATAAAAACATTGGTGTGAAATTTCCTGTGATTTACTACAGATATGAAAATGCTTTCAGAGTTTTTTCAAATCTATCGCGATAAATCTTGTTATCATTGTGCCTGGCCATGCTTTTTGCTATCGGTTTTTCAAACTCAGCGTGTCTGATTTACAGCGAAAATGAGTGAACACCCATCCATCGTTCCAGTATCGCCTGAACGACAAACACAGAAAATGACTAATCGCTCCGTCGCACAATGGAATTGAGGTCAACTGGGTTGAAATATCAAAGACCAATTATCTCCCGACTAGAGGGCTTGAGTTAATTAGCAGAGAATTCAGATCATCGCCTAACAATGTAAACAACATTGAGATGCAGATTACAAACAATGGACATTGGTCTCAGCGAAAAACGACCGGAATTGGCATATATATATTACAAAGGAAATGAGGTGAATACCCAATAGCAAGACAATTGCAGTTAGAAGAACAGTATTTAGATAAATGTGAAGACGAATGACATGAATTTTCAGATGTCTCTACAGTTTCCAAGTTGGCTACTATTGGTACCTTATATATTGTTCTTACTTCACTACGTTAATTCAATCAGGCAGTGATCGTAGTTAGTGAAAATATCAAAATATTCATGATTAATATTGTAAATATGTTACGACCTCAGTTACGGATTGGAGATTTTAAATGTATAGGATATCGTAAAGTTTAAAACAAGGGGCAACAGGGGGCCACAAAACGGCCCGTTGAGCTATTTAGGCACTTGTCAACATTCAGATTTTGTCCCATCAATCATAAAATCCCAATCCAACAATATATGTTTACGAAGGCGCTCACGTGGGCAAAAATACATAATGTTTTTTAACCTTGTCGCTGCGTCTTTCGTCCTTTTGCTCGATGCCTAAGCGATAGCCGCATTCCTTCCTCTTGCCTTTACCGCGGCGCTCTAGTTGTCGCTACTGCATTTCGTTGCTGCAGGCTTTCATAACGCTTGTTTACAATATCAATTGTGACCTTGGTGTTTGTTTATATGGCACACAGACAAAACTGTTGCACACCACTAGCTTAATCGCATTAGTATTATTGCAAAACAAATTATCAACAGCACAGTTTTTATTTTATAAAATCAAGATACTGATTCTTATTAATTTTTTTTTAGTAAGGTTAGAAATATCAGATGCAGTAATGAGCGGCTTCTGATTTAGATAGAGGCATCGCTTTAAACTTCCTCTTCATGGAAAATATTACGATTAACCTCAATAAACAGCAAAGTATATACAAAGCCCAATTACTATAAGCGGTCTTTTGTTTATTAGTTTTACACATGTTTAACAGTCTGGCAAGCACTGGTAATAGCCTACTGTATAAGTTTGTCACAATTTATTGGCGTTCTAAGCATGTAACAAACGATTTTGTTTTCGCAATGTTGTCACGTCATTATAATCGCTGCGTCGATTTAGCACGTCGGTAACCCAGTTTGAGACGGATACTGACGGCATTATATAGTAATGAGGTGCCTAGTATAGACATTATACAAGACGAGAACTGGGTAATATTTATGTGACATGAAAGTGCAAATTCCATAGTTGTATTGATCTTTGGATTCATGAAATGCTTAGAAATTTTTATTTGCGAAGAGCATCATCCACAGACTGATTTTGTGAATCAACGAGATCGTGCGTTTTGTGCGGATAAGCCAGTATCATTACTAATTAGTGTTTAATTGTGTAACAAAGCGTTTAAAAACGATTGACCTCCTTAACATATTAAGGTCAATCTCTCGAAGGAAAAAGTTTTAAAGACTTTTATACGTCGAAATTATGTTGATCTGCAATGCATGTTTCCTATATAGCGTTATATTGGTTACCATTATTGAATACATAGTTTTTGTTTTCATATTCTTACGTTGATAATTTTTTAGCAGATTTTCGTGTTCTTTTCTTATATTTTCTTCTGTAAGCTTTACAATGACATTATCATCTCAAGAAAATACACCGCTTCTTAGTGGAAGAAGCGACAGCACCGACTCAGGAACTTATTCGAGCATTGAAAAGTAAGTCCGTTAGAAGTATAATGTTTTATGGAAATATTTCTCTAAAGTATAACAACTCACTCCCAAATTCAAGTCTAATATGGGTTTTATTCGTTTGTCTTTATTTAAATAAAATGACCGCGTAGAATAAACAAAGGTGATGTTATGGATACTGGAATAGGATGGAAAACTTTTTTTGTATCCCACTGTAACTATTTTAGTAAACGTACGGGATGCAGCATTTTGTATAAACATATCTTAATTTTTACGAGATCGTTCTATGCGTGTATGACGTACTGCAGTTGAAACATTAGTGTGAAAAATTGTATTGTCAGTTGAAATAGGATGAATGCTCCACGTGTTTTTATATGATAAATGAATTATATGATTTAATGATCAGAAGTAGCCCCTAATAAATGCATTTTTATTCAATGTGAGTCTTACAGAATATTTATTTTGTGTTGCAGTGCAATTGAAGTGGATCCAAAATACATGGACGAAGAATCATTTCTCCCAAGCACAGAAAATTCAGAGCCAACAAAACAGGGCACTCTAGTCACAATGTACGTATGAAGTTACGCATATTTCTCCCATTTTGTTTTAGTACATATATACATCTGAATGTATATATATACGGATATGAAATATGTTCCCTTTACTGTAAATATAAATGAAGGGGTGCAATCGGACATGACCATGATAACTTACAGGCGCTAATGTGTTTTGCAATGGCTCTACTTCTATACTTTGCAAGTTGACCATGCATTTTTAGGTGATTTCTCTCCAAAACCCTATGTTTTTAATTCTAGATTTGCCGTTTGGAGTTCTATGATGGGAACATCTCTTCTGGCAATGCCATGGGCATTTCAACAAGCTGGAATGATACAAGGGATCGTGATTCAGCTCTTACTAGCCGCGCTTTCCGCATATACAGCTGTGCTGGTTTTAAAAAGCAGCAAGAAATTCGGTGAGCCCAACTTTTTATGACGACAAAGGCATACATGATTACGATCAAATATGCTAGTTTCAGGCGAAAAACGACTTAAATTTGTATCACTTTTCACAGCCGATCCGGTCACTGGAAGTATTCCCGAATTCGCCGTTGTTTGTCAAGTAAGTTTGTTTTCGTGAGTTCGTATACGACTCAAAAGTTATTTGTGTTAATTGACTGGTTTGCACAAACAAAATAAAACAACAAAGAAAGTAAAGGAAATGCTAACATGTGAATGTAGGCTTTATCGTGAATGTGGTTTATTATCTTACCTTTTTACAGGAAATGCTTGAATTTTAATCATTTTTCAAGGTATCAAATTATTGTTTTCCAGAAACTATTTGGAAAATTCGGAACTATTATTACAACACAATGTTCCGCCATATTGTTTGCCGGAGCTTTAATAGTATATTGGATACTGATGTCCGAACTTTTGTACAACTCAGTGAATTCTATACATTGTAAGTTCATACACTTTCATATTTGTGTCGTTGCATAAGCAGCCTGTGTTCGCATTGTTCTTGTTTGTGCGATATTAAGTATTCTACTTGCATCCTGTCAACTTCTTTCGTCATTTTTCTAGACTTTTCAGCAAGGTCTTCTGCAAACCAATCAAACTCAACCAATCCTAAAGAAACCTCATCAATGGAAAACAGTAAGGGCGTTCTTCTCAACAACCACACTATATGTCCAGATAGAGAAAAAGATTGTAAGTAGCCTTAATTTCCTAATGCGACGTGTAGATAAAATTACCCACACAAATAACAGAAAATATACATTCCGTACTAATATTATAAATCAACTTGAAATTACATCAGCAGTTCATGAGTATAAAAATGAGAGTAATGACCGCATTTTATACATCAAGGTCCTATTCGTTTTCGCTGTCTTGTAACAAAACTTTAAAACATATAATACAGTTCAATTAAATTCAATAACGATTCGCCCCTCCCGGGATTATATATTTCTTCTGCTTCTTTCCCCACTGTAAAACAAAATAACTATTGCATTGAAACTAACACACAGCTGGAATATACATCATGATCATGTCCATAGAATGCTCAGGTATCACCCAATCAAAAATTGTTTTGCTGAATCAACAGTATCTTCTACGTTTGTTTTATGTATAATTATTCATAGTATTTTTATAATCGAATTTAAGTAAGATTATTCAGCTTAAATATTTTCAGATTTTTGGAGAGAATTTCATTTGCTGACGGCCTGCCACTGATTTATTTATGGTGTACTTTGGACATTTACTTACCTATTTTTTATTTGTCTATAGCCTCACAGCAGTTGACACCTATTCCCGCCTGGTCGGAAAATCATACAGTTCCATTTTTCCTGGTGGTTTTATTTGCTCCACTCATACAGTTGCGATCGGCATCTTTTTTTACACGATTCGGAGCTGCCGGATGCATTCCTGTTATATTCTTAGCTGTATATTCCGTCATGAAAAGCGCGTTGTGGGGACTGCACGTTGATTTCGAAAATACTGACAGTGTTCACCATATTCAATGTAAGAGTTTGCATCATTATCGCAATTATTGTTGCACCCCATAAGCAGAAAACTAAACGTTTGAGATAACTGGTTATATGCGTGGACCAAACAAATATTGAATTTTTTTGCCTTTTTAGAATATTCAATATATTAGGATAAAAATCATTGGTGTAATTATTTTATTCACTCTTTTCTAAAAATGTGGAAAATTTCCATCTATTTATAAAAAATGTCTTTTTCAGTATTCAGTAACAACTTTCCGGCATTATCAGGAGTTTTAACAATGGCATTTTTCATGCACAACTCTATTATTACTTTTTTCAAACACAGCGAAAAACCTCGGAATAACGTAAGTGCTTTTATTTTGTAATTTATCGTGTATGGGTAATTTAATGATAAATTAAAAAATATATTTATATAATACATATAGGCAATAGGCATGCCCAACTATCCAGGATGATGCTTTTCCTGTGATATATATATAGCGTAGTATAAATGCTTTTGCCAGACATTCAGATAAGATCACTCATATCCTCACTTAGTGATAAGATTTGTAGTATAATTGTAATGTTATCTATCTATTGTCTTATCTATAAATATTTCTCAATTATGTTCAATATGCTTTCAGGTCCGAGATTTGTCTATATCCTATTGTCTAGTTGTTGCTACATACGGAATAATTGGTATGTCAATCTATATGTCATTTCCAGATGAAAAAGCATGTCTCAGACAGGTATTATTTTATATGGTCGTCAAGAAAGGATAAAAATAATTGCAACTGACTACAACATAATAAAACGTCAATTTCCGCAAAATGTCTAAGTAAGTGGTTCCCAAACTTTTAATATCGTTACCCCCAAATCGAATTACCGAAAACTCAATTACCGCTTTCATAAAAATATAGTAGTCATAATCGTTATCACTTTTTCTCTGACCAAAAATAGCAACAATACTTACATCTATTGCATCTTTCAGTCTTGCTTTAAGATGATAAACTTGTGCTAGCTTAGCGTTTTAGCCCACAATCTGTATGGTAAAGTATTGTTATTATGTCCCCAACTGTCTAGATGCGATCATTGTGTGTCCATTCAACAGACTAGTCAAAAATAAGGGGATCACAATATAAATTGTTAAAACAGTGAACGCCTGGATTGCCCCCTAAAAATTGACAAACTATCCCTTTGGTGGTGATTACCCCTCAGTTTGAGAACCACTATTCTAAAGCATAGCGCCCCATGAAGTTCATTACAAGGTGTCAGCCTCTAATATATTCTTTATCATGATTTTTAGAATTTCTTCGAAAACATATCAGTAACGGATTCTGTATCACTTGTAGCCCAGCTGATGTTATTCTTCCGATTGGTCACACTATTTCCACTCGTGACCTATATTTTAAGAGTACAAATATTTGTTCCTACAACGGGCAAGGAATACCCCGGGTAAGTGTTCAGCATTTTGGAGTTTCACCTATATAGGCTACAGTGCTACATTATAATTCAAAATTTTTAGTTCACCAGTTCTTATTTTCTTGGGTTTTACGTAGCAAAGTTGTGTTGCGAATTTAAAGTTAGCGCTGTTGACTGGATAGCAAATCTACTCATGATATTCTGCAACACTGAATTGCAATTGTGAACTGTTGTACATTACATGAGGAGAATTTGAATTTGTAAAAATGCTGTACAGCGTTGAAGTTCTTTGATATTCTTTTATATTGCAGACATCTTCACGTTGCTGTATTGAATATAATCGTCGTAGCACTGTGTGTTTTTTGTGCTGTATTCTTTCCAAACATTGGTGACATAGTGAGGTAATAGTTATCATCTTTTGTATAAATCTTTAATAAATACAAATCAAATACAAAACATAAAAATATTAGAATGAAGGTTTCTTGTGATTTTAATATAAAGTAATTATCGGTTTATAGTTTGATTAATAAATTTGTTTTCTTGGGTTATACTGTGGCTATCATGAATTGCTCAACTCATGTTTAGATTTTTCAAGGGGAAATGCTGAGATATCGCGATATGTATATATTCGACTTCGTAGTTTGAAATCGATAATTATTTGATTGAGTAATACTGCACTGTTTCAAATGAAGAATAATCAAAATTCGTTTGCTGAGATATCTCATGTTTTCTCAAACACAGATTGTTTTTCAGATACGCTGGTGCTTTCTGTGGCATGATTTACATGTTTTTATTGCCTTGTATTGTCGACGGAATACTTGAATGGCGAGAAGATAAAAGACTCAAGCAGCGATCAAACATTTCGCGGCTCGCAATTCATTTGGCTATTTGCATCTTCGGGGTCGGAAATTTCTTTGCTCAATTCGCCGTGAATGAATGAAGTAAATCACTCATGTTGTCACTTTGGAACGTTCTTAAACTTGAATTGTACAAGTGTCATGACCACAAAAATGCAAAGTTATGCACAATGATAGTTGTACCGTGCATGAAACTATTTAGTTGTATTGACGTATAATAAATACTCAATGTGAGGTTGTTTCACGTCAAGAAAAAACAAAATAAATGAATTTTGTGAGCTTATTTCATGTTACATCCTTCAATATGCATATACTGCCACTACCATTAATCGAAAGAAAATACATGCAACTTAAATGTGATAATCCTCGTCATATTGCATGAAATAGCCGAGTCTGTGTGTACAATAAAATATCTGGACTACCTGTCATACCCCATATATTGAAGATCTATAACTCACTAATTCGCAAACAAGTTTCGGCACGTGTCATGACAGTAACTAGAATATGGTCAAGAAAATCTTCAGAATACTGGACTGCCTGTCATACTGCGTGGTTAGAATACCTTTCTTATTCGTAAACTCCAACGATAAACACACACACGCACGTATAGGTAATACGTGTCATAGCAGGGAAAGTAGCACAATTTGATTAGATCAACAGGCAAATTGAATATTGTCCAGCTTTTCTCGTGAAATAAACACGAGTGACTTTAATTAATTTATCTATGGTATTCCGGCCACCACGGCCACAGACGCTTGACTCGGGCATCTAGCCTACGAAATCCGTCTTCTACTCAAACCAACGGAGGGCAACTAACTCGCCTTTTTGAGGTAATTTGGCTTTGAAGCTGGCGTCGGCGCCATGTCATTTGATGTGTAACACAACTCGGATACAGTAGTTGGGTATTTTGAAGCTTTGCAATCGAAAAATGTAAGCTTGGAAAAACAGGATATGACGCGAAGGTGATTCGACCTTTAATTTTGTCAGATAAATCAGTTATTTTAACCGATGTACCGCGGTTAATAAAAATTGCTAAATTTAGGTTCAGCGTCTACTAAATAGGACCACATGTACAAAGAGACACGCACAACGGCAAAATTTATTGTATATTTGTTAACTATGAAAATTTAGAACTATTATATAACTAATAACAAGAAAGCTATGCTCAAATTTATGGACAAGACGTCCATAACGAAATGTTTTACCATCAATGGACCTTTCCCCGACCTTTGACCCCCGGAAAATGATTTCTATACTTTACCATTGCAAAATTTTCGGGGCTATTTTAAGAGTGATTTTGCGAGTTGGCGCCTGTAAAATGGGGTATGTGTTTCAAACCATCATTATGATTCATCGCATACAACAATCTGATTTTTAAAAGTACCAGTAAAGAATTTTAGCCTGGGGTATCACAGCTATTTCCACACTAGTTTTTTATTACTGCAATTAAATTAAAACTCCTGGGAAGACATGGTGATCATTGAATTATCTGATTTATATTTAAGTTTCCGAAACACGAATGAAAACTAACGAATAGAGTTCAAAAACAAGGTAATGTTTACGACCACGCTTGAAAATATGTCTGAGTGAAAAAAGGGTCTGAGCGGATGCGAAAAGGGAGCATTGTTACGTCACTGTTTGCATCTTGCTGATTGGCCAATGTCACGAAGTAAACATGGAAGTCGATGCTCGGGGAGAGGTCCATTCCCCGAAAATCATACGGTATCCTAAACGAACCTGAACAGCCACGGTAACTTACCAGTACCTGTATCAGGGTATCGCGGACTGTCCTAGCTTTTTCAGGTCCTGTGAAGATGATCTATGATACATGATTCAGTTTTTAAAACCGTGTTCCCATGAGTAAAAAATAATACAGCGAAATTTTAAGTGAAATATCAGGTTCTATAGAAAATTTAGAAATAAATAAAATTAATAATAGCCTTCCAGTGTAAAATCTTTCACCAATGAAAATTTCAAAGCAATTAATTGGTCGAGTAGTATAGGACAAAAGCGATTTTCTCATAACGATAAGAAGAAACGTTCTAACAACAAGAATAACAACATAATAACAAAACGATCCATAGGTCCACTCCGTGTCTAATAACTCAGAAATTCCGTGTCCCATGGGAAACACAAATATGTGCTGTCCCATCCCATGGACAAGCCTGGTTTTTGCAGTGAATTGAAACAACAACAATTATGATGACAAAAAAACAGTTTTAAATTTGGGAACCTATTTTACACAACTCACGCGTAAAATTAGGCTAAGCGTAATTATTGTGCCGGATTATTGTGTACCATTCTAAATTTTAAGTACGCTAACGCATGTTATGTGCATGTGTGCAAATATCTAATAAAGCGACGTGATAGATGACAGAACAATTGTCTCTATGGATGCTTCCCCGACTCACGAGCCCAGAAACATTCTTTCTATCGTCTACCATTGCAAAAATAATTAACGCTTATTTTGAAAGTGTTTTAAAAAGTTAGCATTTATAAACTAGTTTCATATGTTCAGCAGCATTGTTTTTGGTAAAAACAATTAACTACATGCCGTTTACAGGTACTGATATCTAATTTTAGACTACAGTTTATCGCAGCTTTTTCGGGACTAATTTTCGATTATTGCAACTAAACTAACGCTCTCTGGAAGGCATAATGGCACTTGTGTTGTTTGATTGACAAATAATTTTTGGAAACACAACTGAAAACTGATAAATAAGACAAAAATCCACGAAAAACAGGCATTGTTCACACCACGGCTTTCCAACTTTTTTCGCATTGTTCACACCAGGGCTTTCCAACTTTTTTTCGCTGTGAACTCCTAAATTTTCATTCAAAGTAGTATGGATCATAAGTGTTTATTGAAGATATCCAATGTTGAATCAATAACTGTCTTAATAAAATTATTCAATTTTAGTTTACTCAGTATTATTACTATATTCAATTTTGGATAGACAGAAAAATATGCTTGATGACCTTGCTTGCCGAGTTTAAGTGTTTCATTTAGAATTTTGGTCAGACGAAACGTTACAGAAATACATTCGTGTTAATGTGAAGCAGGACTCTTGAATTGCTCAGTAATCTAACAGGTGCCCTTTCGTTTATTTCAGTTTAAGGTCTGGTATAGTTTAGTACCACATGCACTTCTAGTTGGCCTGGCTCAACAATTTTTGCAGATGTCAATCCTAACCCCCACCGGACCACGTCACCGAAAAATTACGTCATTTCGATGTCACGGTGGCGTAATGAGACCCACCAAAGTATGCAGATGCTCGACCAAAACGCGCAGATGATAACCCGAAATCGAACAAGTTATTTTTCTCCACACAACGATCACAATAGGAGAGAGATCGCCAGCTTTAGCGAGCTCGTTATGGGCGGCGCAGATGCCATTTCGGGCGATCGTAATTATACTTTGGCAAGCCATATGACGTGATGGTGACGTCGTAGTGACGTAATTTTTGGATGGCATAGTCAGGTGGGGGTAGGGTTGCCAACATGAGTCTCAAGTCTCAATAAAGGACATAGATTACCGTCATCATTTATTTTGTAACTTGCAGGAAAGAACAATATAAAACAATGAAATACAAATTATATACAAGCTAAAAAGATATATTAGAAAATCTTCATGTGTTTTTCATTTAATTCTTATTTAACATTGACCCAATCAAGCTCTAATTTTCCAGTTGCATAAGTTTATATTTCTTAAAGTTATATCAGATCTGACTCTTTGCTGACTTCAGCAATTGTGGGTCACGTTTTATTTTTTCCGGAAATTCACGACACGTGTCTTTCAAGTTGAAGTATATTATTAAAGCTCACTTTTCATTAGTTGTTGTATTCATATTCAAATTGGGTTTGTTTTTAGCTTCAAATGCTCTACAATTTTTACAAGTGTCTGATATTATGGAGAAGAATTATCCAAAAGAGATAATTTTGTAAATTTTCCAAATGTTGAATTTTCATCAAAGTCAAATTTTTTTTCTAAATACGTTATTGCAGAGTTGAGAAATAATATAAAATCTTCCGTTGCCTCTTGAGCTTCAGCAGCACTCACATTTGCAAGAAGGTAGTGAACATCATATCCAAAAAATTCTTCATCAGATCGAGATTTTAACCTATTTCTTAATTTAGTGAGAATAATGAATACATCTGCTGTTGAAGTTTCATTTTTTGCAGTTCTTGAACAGCTGATTTAAACATATCCATTACATGTTGTGAGAATATTAAATTCATTTTAATAAGCTGAGGAACTTCTGTTGACTCATTGTCAATCATAAGGAGTTTAAGTAATTGTTTGGAACATTCACCTGGTCTGCTCAAGAAATAAGAACTTGAAGCTTTCCAAGAAAGTAAGATTCTTCCCATGCATGGGTGCAGAGATAGCCACCTAGTAGGTACATGGCGCAGAATTTCATGAAATTCCGTCTCTACAAATATATGAAATTATATAAGTTTCTCGCCTTTTTGCTGACATTGAGACATGACTGTAAATTTCCAAGACAATATTTTCAATGCCAACATTCAAATTTCATAAAGCAAATTTTAATTTATTGTGTACTATGTGTGCAGTGCAGTTAGCCTTAATAATACCATCATTTAGTGTGCGAACATTAGTATATATAAAGAGGTTGTTTTTCTCCAAAGTTGCAATTTGGGTTATCTGCACTTAAACAAGAAACTCTTTTCCAATCTAGTTGTAAATTGTTCATAGTGTTTTTCAAACAAGTAAACTTCCATCCGCACTTCCATCTGCATTCTCGAAGAAATCGATAATATAAGTAACTGTGCCATGTTCCAAGCTAAAATACTGAACACAGACTTGAAACATTTTCATGTTTTTGTGATTTGAAGCATCAGTTCGTGTTGCCACTTGCCATCTTCGGGAAATTAATGTAAAATATTTGGAATGTTAATAAAATTGGTATTTCTTTGGCTATTTGAGCCGGACTAAAGCGGAATTAAAAAGAATAAATAAAAGCTTCAAATGAACGGAGGCGATTTAAGAACGGAACAATATCAAACACAGTATTATAACTATCGATATTGGAAAAAATAAAGGACAATTATCATCTTAAAAAGGACAAGGACAAAAATCTCAAATAAAGGATTGTCCTTTGAAATAAAGGACGGTTGGCAACCCTAGGTGGGGGTTAGGAATAACATATGCAAAATCGTTATACTACGCCCAATGGAAGTACTTGTGGTACAAAACTATACTAGACCCTCGATCAGTTTATCCAAGAACATATGAGAAGAGCAACAACTTTAATGAAATGTACCAATTCAATATATGTAGCACTTTATCTGTAACTGCGACCTTGTTGGGACGACCTGGTTCATTCCCATGCTTGAGCAACCGCATAAATTTCAATTGTTACGTCATTTTGAATTTATTGCTAATTTGTCATTGTTGCGGATATAAATAGGAA